CTAGGGAGACAGGTTAAAGTTAGATTAATATAATAAGGGTGGTTCAGCGTAGATTAGAACTAGAGTTTTGAGATAGTTTCGCGTTAGGGTTAGAATTAGAAGACTTTATAAATACACATATAGAATGTGGAGCAAGATTCATTGCCCATAACCAGAGAACGCCACTTTCCACATGGATACGAGAATATATTCCAGCAGCATAGTTTTACAAGGGAGAAAGGAAGGCCGTATGAAGCTCTATAATACTTGATTGACTCCTGTCACTCTACCAAACATGACCATGACTTTAAGATTATCTACCGAATCCATGCTAACTTCCCGCGTTTGCTTCGTTACAGACTTCTAAAGACAGTGGAAGCCTTGGCCATTCATGAATTTAAGCCAACCACACCTTTGTGTACAAAAGAAGTATGTGCAATCCCTACTTCTGCCTTGGCCGTAGATTGACAGAAATTTATTTATTTACTTATTTTGTTTATTTAGTTATTTATGTATCATTACCTTATTACTACGATTATTATTATTACTATTATTATTACTGTTCTCACTCTGAATTGTTTCCACTTGTCCCACTTGTCATTCTAAATCCAAAAATTGTTTACAATGTTTAATTCTACCTTATCAAACTTCCCACCATTTTATGCAATATTTTGTATTGGCCTACTAACCCTCTAATTATACACCTCTTTTCAACATCTATAAACCTCATGAATTATTATACATATGACACTAATTGTTTCGCTACTTCAGATTTAACTATGATTACAATCACAAATATTTTAATTTCATTTTATACTACTATTATTATTATTTCATGTCTTCACACCTTTGATCTAATCCCCTCACCGGATATAATTTCTTAAGAAACCATATATATATGGCTGTTGATCCGAGAAAGTAAAGACTGTCTACTCAACGATCTGTCTTCTTCCTTTCTTCTTTGCCTTCCGCATGTCAGTGGTATCGTTTACGGTGGTGGTTGTCGTTGCAATTAGTGATTAGGAGAGTAGGCTAGTAAATCCACTTCTAGTCAGGAAGTCCTTTAGCACAAAAGACTCGACGCGTAAACTAACAAGTTGCCATTTGACGGTCATATAAACGACTTATATATTTATTATTTCTTTTTGTTCCCGCTGAAACATAAGGCTTCAATTTTCGGCTCTGAAGTCCCAGTAGCAGTGTTGTTTCTTACGGGATAATGTGTTTGCTGACCCCACGCCCAACCTTCCCCCCCCTCCCTTACCGGACTTACACTTGCTACCGCGGCTAACTTAGGCGAGGGTAAAGGAGGTTTGCTAGATGACGGTCATATCAACTACTATGGACAACTAAAATTGCAGGTTGAAATTCTGGTTAAAGCAAAACAAAAGCAAAAGCCAAGTAAGTGAGTTAGTTAGTTAGTTAGTTAGTAAGTGTAGTAAGGCGGTTAACATAAATCATCAGTCAATCGAAAGGTGTTCATCAAAGCAAGGCTATTTATTTATTACTCTTTCTCTTCTCTTTTCTTCTCTTCTCTCTGTGTGAATAATAATCAACCATAAATAATGATGATGATAATAATAACCGGATGGTTAAACAAAACAAGACGACAATATTGTGAATTAATATATAGAAATACAGATATATATATGTAAAAGCAAACGGTAAAATTACGGAAATCTTAGTGATAGTGTGGTTGGTAATTTGCATATTAAGTGAATTAATAATCAGAGTGTGAATCAAACCAGACTCATTTCATCAATGGTGATGGGGTAGTGATGATGACTGACCACTCCAACAACAATAACAACAACAACACCAAAACACCTCTGGCGAAATATAACATACACACGGACTATCATCATCATCATCATCATCAATAGTAATAATAATGACCAGTTAACTACAACAAAAAATACCATACAAATATGAGTGTGTGTGATTAAATTTCGCATTAATTTTAGTTTTATGCACAGTTAAGCCTAGAGAAAAGTAATGAATGACAAATTTGTAACACCAGAATGTTTTGGTCAGAGAAAATTTCCAGTTAGACTACAGTTTACACTGTTTGAACATGATCACAGTAAATAGAAGTGGTTGTGTCAGTTTGTGTTAAAAGCCCAACAAGATTCTAGGCACTGTAGAATGTTTCTAGGTTATTATTATTACTTTATCCTTTAATTCCTAGAGGAGCACAGGGCTTCAGCCAAGCGTCTCCACTGCCTTCGGTATTCTACCAACTTTTTCACTCCGCTCCAAGTATGCCAACATGCTTTCATGCTTTCACGTGACCTCCTCCAAGTCACCCTCGCACTGACGACCAACCCGCCGCTTCCCTTTCGGGTTCCACTCGAGCAATTGCTTGTCTAGTGATGTCACTTGATAGCTTTTTGCCTCAAAGTATGGCCAATCCACCTCCACTTCTTCCTGCTTATTTGTTGCACAATCGGTTCCTGCTAGGCTGGTTGGTTCGCTCCCAGAGATCCCTGTTTCTGATCTTTTCTGGCCGGCCGTCTGGTCTTGAGTAGTACTGAGCGAAAACAACTGTTAATGAAGGTTTGAAGTTTGTTTGAGATGATCTTTATGACGCGCCAAGTCTCTGATCCATTCGTATAGCAGCACTGACTTCACATCGGAGTTGAAAATCAGAATCTTATTTTTGATTCTGAGTGCTGTTGACCTCAACACAGACTTAAGAGTAATGAAAGCTTGTCTCGCTTTTCCAATCCTTGCTTTGATATCCTCGTCACTTCCGCCTGTAGTTGAAACGATACTTCCCAGGTAGGTAAAAGAGGTTGTTTCTTTCAGGTTCCTCCCATTTATGCTGGCTGATTGTTGTCTGTTGTTGTTGCTGTTGGTGTTGGCCAGGAATCTTCATCACCTCTGTTTTATCTATGTTCACCTGTAGTCCTACCTTTGATGCTTCTTCTGCCAGCTTGTTGCTTTTCACTTGCGTATCTTCCAGTTTGTGGGAAATCAGACATATATCATCGGCGAAGTCCAGATCCTCCAAGTCTCTTTTTGTGTGAGTCCATTTTATACCTGTTTCCTCATTACCCGTTGTCTGCCACATTATCCAATCTACTGCAATCAGGAAGATCACTGTAGAATGTTTCTAGGTTTAAATTTTATATTTCCTATTAATTGATTATCCGTTAGCATGTCGGCACTTAACAAAAGTGCTTCTACAATGTCTAAGCGTTAATGTTAATGGTGACAAGCAGAGGGGGTCCAGAATTCCCATTTCGTCCTATTTAGGAACCGTCGCAGTTGGATGTATCCTCGTGACCTATTGCATAGTGCTTTTGCATTTGAAACGACAGGTGCAGCATTCCTGTCGCAATAGGAACATCATCACTCACTGGAAATGCAGGTATACCCAGTGGACAAGTCCCAAAGAGGATGAAGTGAGCATCCTGGATTCTACTGCTAGTTATCACCAACATAAATAGCTTCACTACAGAGCTTTACCCACTTAAAAAAAAGTAGATGATGAATTTTCAGTTTTGCGGTGTTAATTTCTAAAAACAAAATTACGGAGAGCTTCATTATAAGAGCCTATAAATACACGAATACTTACTAAAATGCCATACATAGTTATCTGAAGTTGTGGAAATCCACTTGTTTCATCTATCGTTTAATGGCTTCAGCTGTTACCTACCTTCTAGGTAGCCTCCGTACGTATAGAACCTTATTTATTCCCATAAAGCAAATTAACTGAAGTAAATGGTTAACAGCTGTTTCACCCTAATTTGCGACTCTTCGTCAATACACACACCCAACGCGGTGTTTTCAACTAACACTTCAGTATGATGTTACCTTTATACTAAATCATCTGTATCGGAAATATGCATTCAAAGTAGAATATTCACATATCCTCCTAGCCTCCAATAAAACGAAATAGCATCTCATCATTGTAAATAGCTTCTCCTAAGTTCTCTTCTTTGAAACAGATTCGCTTTAAGGAATTCCTTTCACGCTTTCTGTTGACAGTCGTTAAAATACTTTACTATAAGCTTATTCAAAAGCGTACAGTCTTATTACACTTGATTTACAATAGAGATGTTTACGACGAGTGAGTCGCCAGTGTGAGGGTGACATGGAGGAAGTCATATGAGGAGGAGATGAGAGATTATGGGCAACCGTGAATCCAGATGAAGGGGGACAGCACCAAGTAGAACAAAGTGGAGACGTGTTGGTGAAGTTCTATGTTTCACTCGTAATCCAAGGGAATAATAACGGTAATATAATTACACGCGAAATGTATACTTAACCTGTAATTAATTTAACAACAACTTATTTGAAGATGATTCATTACAAAGGAATACTGATAATTATTATTCCCACTATTAATTTATAGTTATCGCGTCCTTTGCTGAAATATATATATATATATATATATATATATATATATAGGTTAGAGAGATCATTGGAAACTAAGGACCACTGAAGAGCTGCTTTGTCCTATTTTGGGACTCTTCATCCAGAGAACGCCCACGAACCCCACCAGGCATCCGGACCAGATTCGTTGAGGATTCAGTCACTTGGGCTAAAATTCAATAACCCATAAATTCTAAATTAGTCAAGTACTCCCAGTTCTAGAAATCTAACCAAGAACCTGGTATATTTTACTGCGGAAAAGAATTCCGAAACACCAAAAAAACCCTACGTAATGCACAGAATAGATATGAAATTCAAAAGAATGTGATCTTTCATTTTACAAGCTTCCATTTAAAATTATATTCGAAATATAAAATCACACTACTGATTAACAGTAGTTAGTAGTTTGAATACACTTTCAGAAAAAGCGTTTATTGGAAACAACACGTAGAATTTTTCCTAGTAACTTCAACACTTGAAATAAATTCAACCATCTAAGAAAAGATGTCTAACACCTCATTAGAAATCATACAAGAGTTGAGAGTAATCTCCTCAGACAGATGATAGAAAATAAATCGATAACAAACAAAATGAGCACGAACATTTTTCAAAGCAAAACAAGAAAAATGACATGGACATACCAGAATCTAAATCGCGTGCATTAATTTTTCCAACCAAACTTCCTAGTGGTGCATCTTCAGGAATAGCATTGATTTCAATAGCATCGAACACTGGTGGATTATCATTCACATCCAATACAATAATTTTTAAATTAAATGTACAACTAAAACCTTCAGGATCTGATGCATCAATAATTAACTCATGTTGTTGACTCATTTCAAAATCCAGTGAAGCATTTAAAACCACAGTACCATTACGACTATTGACAGAGAAAAGATTTGATTCTGAGAATTTACTGGTATATGTGATGAGAGAATTACGTGGATCTGTGTCAGCATCTGTTGCATTCAATGTAGTTAGAATTGTACCCAATTTCATATCCTCAGGAACAGTTAGAACACGAGTGGGCTTTTATAAAAAAAAGTGTGAGAAAGTAAAACAAAACTCATTGAAGTGAGGGGAAAAAACACATCACAAATAAATAGCTATATATGTGAAATATTTATTTGGTATGATATGGTCAGGTTAAAGAATGGTGACCTAAGGAGAGAACGAAGGCACCTGTAAGAAGGCAACTCAACTGACGTAACCAGATATTCTTTTTTAATATCCTTTCACTTCTTCCGCAATTTTGTCGTGTAGGTGTTCATCCCATATGATGTCGATTTCTAAGCAAATCTTCCGTCTAACCTAATACATTAGGAAGTTAAGACAATCAGGAATCACTTAACCTCTAGCTTTTTTTATTCCTTTATGTTCCCAGTGGAACACAGGGAGCTTCAAGGTAGAAGCTTGGAGTTTCTGTAGTAGTGGTGATTATTTTTACAGGATGGGACTGCTAGTCTCATACCTAACCTTCTCTCTTTACTAGTCTTACTACTGGTTTACCGAGGTAAAGGAGTGGGTCGGTAGCCGGGAATCGAACCCCGGACCACCTGCGTGGTCCGGCGAGCACTCTACCGCCGTGTCACCGACGCACAACCTCTACGTTTACAGTTTATTAACTCGTGTATTTTATATATTGTACTTTACTGCTCCCCCTACTGCTTCAGTATTTCCTGGGCTACCCAAAAAGTACTATGTCATACTGCAAAGGGTATTAAAAGTTGTCAGTAGAGAAAGTGATGTGCCACTTAGTCAGCTCGCTACTACAGTAGTCAACAGACACCTACCTGAACTCGTATAAGAAATGATCTAAATCAATATTTTTTGACTCCAAGCACCCTCTTGATTTCACAACTCTCCCCTTGCAGCTCATCATCAGGTAGGACTATAAGTCACTATAAAAGACTATATCCTCGCACAACCCAGTACAAACACTCAACGACACCTAAGACTCCCCTATTTGTAAATTATGGTAACACTATTTCAATTAAATTATAATTTTAGCTTTTGTTATTATTATTATTATTTTACACTTTTTGTACATTTTTGACATTATTATCACTGTTAATACCGATAGAGCTGCTATTATCAATCCTGTAATATTATTTTTTATTTTTGTTTATACTGTTGTCGAGTAAATTAGATGCAATATTGTATCAAATGCTGGGAATTTCACACTGTACCATAAGTACTGTTTAGGAATAAAACAAATTATTATTTATTATTTGCCTGGTTTTACTGACTCGCTCGCTCCGCTTGCGCGTTTCTAGCTCCTTCATTGGTCAGCTCGTTGCCTTAGGTCACTGTTTTTTTTTATTTAGCATGATATCATTCAGTGCTCTGAATACTAATATCATTCCCAGAAATGAGGAGTAGGACATGGGCCTTCAACAGCACATGGCCATTTAACTCTGTTATGTGAAGTCTTTTTTCAGCCGACTGCTTGATATCCATAAACTTTCATTCCATCTCCTTCTCACAGAATCTCCAATATATCACCGCCGGATCAACATCCAACTCATCACTTCCCATTCGGATGCCATTCGACAGTGTGTCTGGTGCATGATGTCACTCAACAGTTTCTTCAGCATGTGTCCGATCCGTTTGCATGTTTACTGATCAATAGATTCTTGATTAGTTCACTCCCAGAGTTATCTATTGCTAATTCTTTCTGTCCATCACATCTTCAATACCAAGTGAAAGCAGTTGGTGATGAGAGTCTGCAACAGCCTGTTGTGAATGCCCCTCATGGCACGCCAAGTCTATGACCCATACAGAAGAGCTGGCTGATTTAAAATTAGGGTTGAAAATTCAAATCTTGTTCTTTATGCTAACTGAGTGTAGAAGACTTCCAAATTGATTTCAGATTGATGAAGGTCTGTATTGCCTTTCCGATTCTGGCTGGCTGGCTGGCTGGCTGGCTGGCTGGCTGGCTGGCTGGCTGGCTGGCTGGCTGGCTGGCTGGCTTTGATATCCCCATAACATGCCGAGTGTCTGTAGTTGAAATGATCCTGTCTAGATAAGTGAAGGAAGTTACCTGTTTCAAATTTCCTCCACTGAAATATTGATTGGTGCTGAATATTGTTACACGATATAAGGTATGAAAATAACATGCTTACTAGACACCTAGACCCTTAGTAGACGAATGAGACTGCCTGTCTCTGTTTTCGATATAGAACTTTACATCGATGTGCACCAGTTCAAGTCGCCACACTCCCAACATGTAGCACACAAAGCAAGAGAAGGAAGTAGAAGAAATGTATATTAGAGACAGCAAACAGAGGTGTGAGACAAAGTAATAAAAGTAACGAAGAACAAAACAGTTTCATTGGAAATCATAGGTCACAAGGAGTGGATGCATCTGTGCCATCAATGAGAACGATTTTGAGCCATATCATCAATAGTTTCCAACCACTGGTTTTTAACGTCCCGAGGACCCCAACCAGGAAGCCAGTCTACACCTTCCTACGTGACTCAAACTAACTGTTGAATATTTCATTGACTGGTGCCATGTTTTGGTTTGACCACAGCTAGCTCTTTTCCCGCCTGACCCTATATCAGCTAACATTGCCCATCGAGGAAAGCAATCAATCGCTGGGCACGTGAAACACATGTCCTAACAATCTCAGTCAATGTAATTTCACAACCTCGTCGATTGATTTCCCCTCCTCACCTAGAACTCGACCAAAGCCTAACCTCAATATTGCTCACCTTATTATACCACTTCACACGGGAGAAAGAACGCATGCACCTATGATCAAAGACAGCTAATCTTTTCATGTCTTCCACTCTCAATGGCCACGTCTCGCTCACAGCCATAAAGAAGGACGCAGCGGACTGCTGAACAGTACACATGCCCTATGGTCGATAGCCAGACGGATATCGCGTCTACGCCTGAGACGGCGTAAACTAGCATGTGCGAAACTAGTCCCCTGTATCCGTGCTGAGATTTCGTCGGAGATCAACCTGTTGGCGTTGGTTGATGGTACTTCCCAAATAAGTGGAGCTAACAACGTGCCCTACGACTACACTCCCTATTTCTAAACTAGGAGTCAATGTAGTCCAATCCTGTAACATTATCTTACATTTGGCGGGAGTGAATCCCATACCAAACATCCGTAGATTGCAGTTCAAGGTGTTCAGAAGGCTCTGCTGTATTTTGTCAGCGTCCTCGCCTAGAAGGACTATATCGTCTGCATATTCTAAGTCAACGAGATTATTCCCTGGTAACAAGTCAATCCCTCAGTCTCTAAAGTGAGTTGGGGTTAAGTCCATTAGTACATCTAGGATGAAATTGAATAGAAATGAGGATAATGGGTCTCCCTGACGGACACCACTAGTTGTCACCACTTCAGATGACAACTCGTCGTAAGCCCTCACCTGGCTGATGGCATGAGTTTGAGTAGAGTGAGTGCCTTGATCAGTGCAATGTATATTCTCGGCATTCCCTTTACAGCCAAGCATCGCCAGAGAACCTCTCGGTCGACAGAATTGAATGCCGCCTTTAGGTCAAGAAATACAATGATTGTTGGATTCCAGTAAGAATGCCTATGAGTACTTTGAAAATGCCTTATTTATGCATATATAAAGGGATGTCAACCTGTGCTTCATACAGCCACATTTATTCAGTGATAACTCAGCATAACAAACACAAACAGACAAACAATAAGGAAACACACACACACACATACACAGTCGTCCATTTCACTTTGTGTTCACAAAATATAATGCACTGGTATATTACACATTTGGGCAGTGTACACACACATATATATCACGCACTCAGATAGTCTAGCTAGCCCTGATATACAAGAAAAGATCTTATCAAGCAGACTTTCTGTGGATCAGTTTCAGTTTGCAGAAAGTTTGAAAGACAAAAGAAGAGTGATAAAAGATTAAATAAATACACTAATAAGCACAGAAATCCATGAATACATGTCACAAATGTCAAACATAGCTAAACCTACTTGTATACAAATTGGTACATTGTCATTCATATCTTTGACTATCACGCGTAGGACGAAAGTATCTTGAGTAACAAACTGTCCATCACTGGCTTGAAATCTAAGCACATGCACAGGTGTCAATTCTCTATCCAACATCTGACGAAGATACAAAGCACCAGATGGTTTAACATAGAAATAAAAACTATTTTCACGAGAGTGATGCGATGAAGGCTCATTGATGAGATAGAATCGAGGCTTGGATTTGACTTCCTCATCTAAATCTATAATATTTAACTGATAAATAATTTCTTCTTCTTTAGATGGCCACCAATTTTCTAGAATTTCAATTTCATCTGATAAAATTTGACGCTTTCTTAAATCCATCGGTAGAATAGATTCGAATGAATCATTCTGAATTGGTGATAGAGGCCATAAAGGTGCATTGTCATTGATATCTTTGACGAAAATATGTACTCGGCTGGTATTCCAATGCCCATCAGCATCCATAGCCATAACCTGGAATGGTATACAAAAAATATGAAAGTTTGTTGCATGCTACTTATTCAAATATCAGTAGCTAAAAACAGTTATCTAAAAATACATGTAACAATTTAAATTCATTAGATAACAGAAAGCTGCACTAGAAACAGAAAGATGATAAATGGGTCCCAGAAATCTCAGTAGACAATGATCATGATTAAAGTATTGAAGATAAGATAAGTAACATTTCAAAAATTCAGTTGAACAGCAAAAGGAATACCTTTTACAACAAGTTTTATCTACAGCTTTATTTAATATAATTTCTCACCTCCTGTTGACCAAAGTGCTCGGAATCTGTTGACATATCGTCTCCTAGTACGGACGTTTCAGAGATTTCTGAGAATTAATAAACTGCCATTTGATAGATGCTGACTATTAGTAGATTCCAGAATGTCCATTTCGTCTTATTTGCGTGCTAGGTTCGAGTCCCGATAGGGAATGTAGCTACATACAACTGACAATCCCCTAACAGGAAGAAATATGTGCCCTGGATTCTTCTGTCATTCACCATCTATCAAATTACCTGAAGCCACACTGACTCTTGTCATGAGGTGTAGGAAACTACTCATGCTTACTAGCAGTTCGCCAAACTACCTGATTAAAATTTGGCTGATCAGAACTGATTTTAGTCGTCTGAACTGAGTTAAAAATCAATTACTCCGCTGATAAGTTCAACCCCGAACGAGCAAAATAGATTAATTTGATCTGACTGGCAAGCACTAGTTAGTAATTGATATGGACAGTACCCAACTACTCATTCAGACAGTATGAAGACAAGCGCTAAAAATATGACAGTCAAAGAGTGGTGGAATGAAATCTAAGCGAGAAATCCCAGCAAAGTTAGCGTGACAACATATAGAACTTGTAATTTTTAAGATTCAAGTATATTAAAAAATAAATATTAACCGTAAATGATCAGATTGGTTGAAGGATTTTATAATGAGCTGACATCAATTAGAGAACCATTGGAAAACCTGACAGTACTGGACAGCTGTTTCGTCCTATTTTGGAGCTCTTCAGTAGTACGCACCCACAGGGGTTGGAACCCAGGATCAGAAGGGTGAGCGAGTGCCGATGAATAGTCCGAAAACTAGGCCGAAGCAGCTGTCCAGTACTCCCTGCAGGTTTTCCACTGGTTCTCTAACTGATGTCAGCTCCTGATGAAATCCTTCAACCAATCAAACAAAAAAGTCCCTACAAAATCAATACTTGGAAGTGATTAGATTGACTACATAGCATGTGGTAGATCCGTCCTTCTTAGAAAACAGTGACTCACAGTAAAAAAGAAAATTCGATACATACCAGAACCTCTAAGGAGATGCAATCTGCTTAAATGTCTGATTATTCAAAACCAATAACACTTAACATACTTTTCAATACAGGGTTCAATATACAACATAATTTAGTTTATCTAATACTCTGCAAAGAGTGTCAGGTCAAATACATAAGCCAAAGTAAGTAGGAAAGGGTCAGTTAGATATAAGCAGAGCATAAAAAATCTAACACAAATAATCTGGTTTACTTGACCCTAATAAGATGAGAAATTTAGAAAATAGCCCACCACCCATAGCGCTAGCTTCACACACACAGTTAAACACAACCAATACAATAGGATGAGGTAACAAGATGACAGTCTTAAAATCTAATATAACATCAAGGAAATGCTTCTCTATATTCTTAGGACAAATAGCGAAGGAAGGAAGAAAGATGACTGCAAGCAAAAAAAAATCAATCAATAAAATTACTATGAGCTGAAGAGGCGCCTAAACTAGGACGAAACAGCTATCCACTACTCCCTGCAGGTTTTCTAACCGTCCACTAACCGATGTCATTTCATGATGAAATCGTGAAATTAATCCTTAGATTAGACGCTAGTTAGTAATTAGTCGAATGTATCTAGCCGTTTGTTTGCTGCAAATTAAATTTCAAGCTTGACTGATAACATTAAGTCCTCACCAAAGTTAGGACCAGATATATTACACTAATTACTACCAAGTGTCCAATCTAAGTATTAAATACAGTCCTAAAGTAGGCCAATAGCTAGCTCGAATAACTCAGCGGTATCGTCTCTGACTGCAGGACTAGGTGGCCCGGTGATTCGAATCTCAAAAGGGACATGAGTTCCTTCAAGGTTGCAGGTACGCGCTGCTGATGAGTGACAGCTATCACGAAACCTAGGTCAAAGGTAAATTGACGACGGGGAAAACTATGGATTCTTATAAACTGGAATTACTACTTGAGCGACAAATGAAATTAATGGAAATGCTCACCAACACACAGACTGGTTCAACTTCACCTTCAAGCAATCCGAATCATACCATGTCACCATCTGTCGACGGAATTGTGAATGGTATTCCGCAATTCAATTATGATCCAGATTCTAGTGTCACTTTCGACACATGGTATCAATGCTATGAGGATTTATTCACAGTTGATCTCGCCTCTCAAGACGATGCTTGAAAGGTACTGCAACCTAATTTTACACCAAAAACCACGTGACAAGTGTTTCGATGATACAATAAAGCTGCTGAGTGAACATTTTGGAGACCACTCCTCATTATTCAGCATACGTTATCTTTGCCTCAAACTGACAATGAATGAAAATGATGATTTTCTTACTCACGTTGGCACAGTCAACCGAGAATGTGAGAGATTTCGACTCAGGTCCTTAACAGATGATCAATTCAAAGCCTTGATTCTCATATGCAGTCTCCAATCTCCTCGTTTCACAGATATCCGAACTCGACTGCTCAATCAGCTAGAACAAAATCCCAAGTTAACTCTACATGATATAGCTGATGATTATCAATGGCTGATTAATTTACGGAAGGACACGCACCTGGTCGAATCAACCACTTCAAGAAGCTCTGGCATTCGTGCATTACGAAAGAGCCAAAATCTCTCTTCATCATCTAGTCCTGACCCACCTTCTCCTAATCTTCCGTGTAAACCTACACATATCTTCGTGAACGTGTTGGCCTTCTGATTTCGCCCTTTTCGCGTCAGGACAATTAACTACTCGACGAGTACATAACAAAAGGCTTCCTGTTAAATGTCGCCAGCCTTCTAATATCAGTAATGAATCCGATTCAAAACTTCTTCACCTACTAATATAATACTGTTTCGCTGTGTGCGACATATCCAATAAACAAGCTAATATGGAATTTAATTTCAACCACTAGCTGACATCAGTCAGAGAACCACCAGAAACCAGCAAGGAGTACTGGACAACTGTTTTGCCGTTGTTTGGGACTAGTCAACAGTACACAACCGTAATCCTATCGTTAAGGGTCGAACCCCCAGGACCTTAATAGTATGTAACTACATACAACCACAATGCCCAAACGTTTTAACACATCTTCGACGAATGCCCAGACATCGTCGAAGCATCTGCACAAGAAGCCGACATGTCAAGCTGAGACCCGAGCACTTCGGTCCAATCACAATCGACGGGAAAATCTAAAAATTCATACACACAAGTTTCATCAAACCGATAATGCTAACATTTCACATCTACCTCTAAAATATCCATTAAAAAAAAAGAAAATCAATTTCTACAAAACATACCCAAAATACATGTTCATGACTCGTTTCAAAATCTAACGGCGCCAACAATGAAATCCATCCTTGTGAATCAATTTTAAACTGTCTCCTCAATGCCTGTAATTCAGGATTGAATAAAATCAATTTCTCTAGGCGAACACGTTGTTCTTTTAAATTACCACCACGTATAGCAAGATGTTCAGAGGCAAGAGTTGATATTGGCCATAGAGAATAAGTAATAATATCTTGTTTACCGTCAGATATATGATTAACATCTTTGTCAACATTATCATCCTGGCTGTTGTCATCATCAGTGGTATAGGGAGCAGAGGTTTTCCTGTTGCTGCCGATGCTGCTGTGACTGTCACCCCTGTTATCACCATGACAACCAAGGCAAATATCATCGTCTATAGCTAAAGTTCGTAGAAATCTTACACCTAATGGATAATCTTCTGGTATGTCTATTCGATACCTAAAAAAGATAAAAATAAAAGCAAAACTGAACGAAAAATTACAAGAACAACAACAACAACAAAAAAGGCAAAAGATAAGAGAGGGAAAGAGGGAGAAAGAAAGAGAGAGAGAGGGCCAAGTAACACACAACTTTTAACAATTGACATGTCTGATAAAAACAATCAACAAGAATCTCTTTAGTTGGTTAATTGTTTTAATCCAAGTGACGTGAGATATACAAACTGGAGATGAGAGTAAAGTTATTTCTCTTTTAGAATAGAAAAAAAGAACTTTTACAATTTCCCAACTTCTTTGGATTGAATATAGCCTTAGGGGTTACAACATCACGAAGAAAAGCAAAGAAGTTATGGTTGAATAGTGGTCAGCACATATAAAAATGGTAAAATAGCGTGTCTACCGACCGACCGACCTACCTACCTACCTACTCACCTAGAGCTACCTTCCAAAGGAACGCTAAACTAACCAAGAAGAAGAAGAAGAAGAAATGAGTCATTGAAATAAGAAAAAGATATCCCCCAAATGGTCACTGTGGTAAAATGAATAGTATTAAAGGGAGAATGAGTGGGTAGGTGGCCGGCTGACTGGCTGGCTGGCTGGATAGGAAAGATGAGTTATTGTCAAATTATATGATTACTCAAAATAAATCTATCTTTTACAAATGAAAAACTTGGATTTCACTCGATTATTATTATTATTATTTTTCACAGACTTGATCCGCAAAAAGGAAAAAAAACTTTTAAGCATAAACAACACTCAACCACCCACCTACCCACTTTTCCCCAAAACCCACAAAAAGAGAAAGTAGATAAGTAGAAATAAGACATAAACACACGGAGAGAGAGAGAGAGACAGAGTTCAATGTAACAAAATTCTGTCTGACATTCGCGACCAGGAAAATATATTCGAATGTAACAGAGAAAAGAAAGAAAATGAATTCTGACGTAGGTAGATAGAATAAAAGTTGGAAAAGTAATATTCTCATATATTTTTTTTTGGCATTAGAACACCATGGAAGGAAAGACAGAAAGGTGAGGAACAATGACCACTATTACCATTACTATTATTCTTTAAGGTTCCGAGTGGAATATCGGACTTCAAAAGCACATCTCGACTTCATTCTGTCCTCTGCAATCCCACTTTAGCTGACTCTACAATTTGGTCGTATATGCCTTCGTCTCCTCTAAGTTGCTGAACTTGTTGCTTTCCATTCAGGTACAACTTGAGGACTGGTTTTCTGCTCAACGGTCTCCTTAGCGTGTTTCCAATCCACATCTCCATTTTTTCTTCGGCATATATGTTGGGCGATGGGTTCTTAGTTGATACGTTGTAAGGGTTATATGTATGTAGCTAATCCTTTCAGCCTGACCATTTGTTATCGGTGTATAGAACGATGTCGGTCACTGATGAAAGTCCACAACAAACTGTGGGAAATACTTTTTGTGATACGTTCGCCAAGTTTCTGAATCATATAGAAGCAGTGACTGACTCTTGGCATTATTGTTGAAAATCCGAATCTAGCCACCACCCCCACCCCCACCCCCATCCTGAGCGCAGTAGATTTACACACTAACTTCAGATTATGAAAGGTTTGTATTCCCTTTTCGATTCTAACTGGCTTTGACATCCTGATTCGTGCCTCCACCCGCAGCTGTGAAAGGATGCTGCTGTCTAGATGAGTGAAACAGATGACTCCCACTAAATCCACCCCACCCACCCCCAACTGATAGATATTGGTGCTTGTTGTTATTGTTGACCGAATAACTTGTAGAGTTCCCTAATTTGCTAACCGATCTTAAGTTCACAAAAAAAAGAGAATGGGAAGGTTGGGTGTACAGCCAGTGACTGACCCTCTACCTCAGAAAATTGACCTAATCGCTTCTAGAAACTTCAATGCACAGGAAAAATATATAAAAGGTAAACCTATTGGCTAATGTAAGTGTAGAACTTGGACACTGTGTGGTAGAATGTAATTCCAAATTAGATCAGTTTATTTCAAATATCCCACAGTGATGCAGTATTAAAAACCGGATGATGTTTCAAGCATAAATTATTGCTGCTCATAATCATATCAATTTAATCACACATTTCCACAATCTGCCCTATATACATATTCTCTCTTTCTCTCTCTCTCTCTTCCCCTTGCTGTTTGTTGCCACTTCGCATATCTTCAGTATAGGCGTTGAGTCATTCCGACTGAGCGAGTGCAGCGTTGAGTCGATAAACGAAGATTCAGTGATTAACCTCTCTGTATCTCCACCTACACAAACTGCAAACGTTCATCAATAGCTGCCTTCGCTCAATACTACTCAAGATCAGATGGATGGCCAAAAAAAATCAACAGCAGGGAGGGATCTCTGGGAGCAAACCAACCAGGAACCGATTATGCAACGAATAAGCAGGAAGAAATGCAGGTAGATTGGCCATACTCTGGGGAGACCGTCAAGTGACGTCACTAGACAAGCCTTCCAGTGAAACCCGAAAGGGAAGCGGCAAGTTAGTCGTCCAAGGGTGACTTGGAAGAGGTCATGTGAAGAGGAGATGGAAGCATGTGGGTAGACTTGGAGCGGGGTGAAAACGCTGGCAGAGAACCGAACGCAATGGAGACGTGCAGTTGAAGCCCTATGTCCCTCTAGGAACTGAAGGAAGTAATAATAATCTCCACCTAACTAAATGGCTTTGTAATACTCTCATTCTGTCCCACCCACCCTATTTTGTGATTACACTCAAGATTATTTAATTTAGCAGGGTAAATCATTCTAGGTCTAGTTAGATTTTTATGTTCCAATAATCGAATTTGACCCTGATCTATTAGTTTGATCTATGCGCGTAACTGACCTCACTAACAGTCATTACATGCTATTTGATGGTAAATTACATAATTTTCCTCTTATTACACTGTTATACTTATGCTTCAATGCAAAATGTGGCTAAACAGGCATGTTAACTATGATTTAAAACAGTTAGTTCACCCTTTATGAATCTAGACAAAGCAATATGACGTAATTTGTCTGAATCATGTAATGCTGTATTTGCACAACACTCATTTCGAACAATCTGATCACACAGACGTACTTGTCATAGGAATATATAATAAAGAGTTAAGAAGTGAGAAAATACACTTAGGTCAAGTTGAAAGGACATACTGAAGGTCAAAATAACAATGAAGATCACTAAACCAAATAATAGAGGTTTAGTAGTAGTACATCTGCCCAGGCTAGTATCAAAACAAACTTTACCAAAGAAGGTAGGTTTAGTGTGATGACGAATTGTTGTTTTGATCGCATAAAGGTAGTTTAAACTTTCAAATTGCCAATTAAGGCTTCCACAAACTTTAGGATATGTCCTCCCACAAACACGTTTTATAGATAGGTTTGAAAGATGTGTGTAAACGTCAATTTTATGTCCTGTCTCTACACTATGTTTCGCAATAGAGGAGCTAGGTCTCCTGTCCTCACCATTAATGAGTTCTAAGGACTCTATTCGCCTCTGGAGCCATCTAACTTGACTTAAATTTATTTTGTCACCTCTTAACTCTTTATTAATTTCATATACATATTCCTATGACAAGTCGGTGAGTGTGATCAGATTGTTCGAAATGTGTGTTGCGCGAAAACAACATTACATGATTCAGACAAATTACGTCTTAGTATACAATTGGTGGATGGTGGCTAGCAGTGGAATCCAGGATTCGGTCCAATCAATCGACGGGAAAATCAAAAATTCAATTCAAATTACGTCTTCTTCTTATTTTCTATAGTTTGGTTTGTAAGGGTTAGTTATGTTTTTACTAGTTGATCACGATATCAGTAAGAGAACCATTGAAAACCAGGGAGTGCTGGACAGCTGCTGTTTCATCCTAGTTTGGGAATCATCGGCAGTACGCACCCATTGGGATTCGAAACCAGGACCTTCTTATTGCTTTGTTTAAACTAACTATGAGTTGAAAATCTTGCTACGAGTTCCTCCAACTACTTTAGTTAAGCCACACACACACAAAAAAAAACAATGACACAACATTTGTAAGAGTATCGCACAGACATATACCCCCCACAGACACACACACACACACACACAAGAGTTGATGAGTCACAACATTTCAATTTTCGTTTTTACATCCACGCCTATTTAACATACATATACGCCAAAACGGTTTAGTGATTCCTATACCCCCAAACAAAAAATTGTTAGTTCTGGCAGTGACTGCAATATGTATTTAAGTCGTCTAAAAGCATTCACGTTGACACACACACACAACAAGAATACGCTTATAGCAACATAACCTGTAGGCATAGCAAAATAAATTAATTGTCCATAACAAATGTGTTACACGAGACAAAACAAAACAGAAATGGTGTCAATATTGACATACACACACAAAGAATTCAGCAACTGGTGGTGTTGAACGAAAAGGGGTATTAGGCTTTGTGTGTCGCGAATTTTTATCACAAGTGGCTAATTCTTTGTTGTTGTAGTTGTAGCTGTTGTCATTCCACTACAATTGCAATGACAACCACTTACTACTACTACTAAGCAGCACATACAACTTTATCACCCTATAGTCATATTTTAATAATGAAATGACCTCAATTTAAAATGAGCTACAGCTAAAAGGTCAAAGGTCAAAGCTACAATTTTAGCCTATGTGGACGGGATTAATGGACAGATAGATAGATATAGACCTAGAATAGTAAATAACAACATATGGATGAATGTGACAGCCTATGTTTCTTCAAGGTTATCAGCATTTTTCATTAGCATCATTCATATTATTAATGTTCAAGGTTGTTGAAGTGAAGTTTAACTCTTTCTCTCCTTCAAATGCAAAAAGAAGTATAAATTAAAAGAATCGATGACTAAGTAGACCAGTAGTGATTCATCCACAACAAAGAATGATTAATCAAGTCTTCTCATCAGCTGTGCAGAGTTATACACACACATATATGTATAGTAAACAACAGTTTTGAACATTATTTGCAATTTGTTAAAGGCCGTTTTGTGGCACAATCGGTCTGGTGGATAAAGCTTTGCTGGATGCAGCGATTGTAGATACATCCGATGACAAGTCCCAAATAGGACGAAACGCCTATTCCTGCATTCCATTCATAGTCATCATCCACCAAACACGGAGTACTGAATAGCTGTTTCATTCTAGTTTCGGATTCGTCAGCTGCAACCGTCCACCACCAAGGTACCAACCAAGGACCTTCCAATAACAGGGAAAGTTCATCGACCGTTCATCAGCCACTGGGACCCAACTCAATAGCTCATGATTTTAGCTGGACCACCAGCCAATGCCATTAGTGAGTATTTGTTCCTACACCCAACCTGGTGGACACTTGCTGGTGGCCGTGCTAAAATCCAGAATCGGTAGGAATTAGAAGTCATGGATCATTCAGTAGGATCCCGCTGACTGAATGGGATATAAGCGCACCTTGTAACTGGAAGGTCCAGGGGTTCGAACTCTTGCAGTGGGTGCGTACTGCTGATGAGCCCGAAACCAGCATGAAACAGCTCTCCATTACTCCATGCTGATTTTCAATGGTGATTCTAACTTGTGAACAAGTGTCAATATAACTCCATCTTGTCTAGTTTAGACTTGGGCTCATTTGTTAGCATGTTAAACTACTATTTCATTAGTATTCTACGTGTAAATCTTCATGATATGAGGAAGTGTAGGATGAGAAATAACCGTCAGGAATGTATGCGCCAATATACACCATAAACTTTACGTGATACTGCAAATCACAGCTCGCAAATCAATTATATATTCTCAAATACATTCATATAACCGATTCAATTTAACCCATACTTCTATTTCACAGAGGTAGTTCTCTGTACAAAACTTGCATAAAAAGTAGTTCATTGGCTTAAGTACTCGATATTTAATCAAATGAGACCCGGGGTTCATCTTCACCTATTTCTAGCATTACACAGTAAGGGTCATAGCCCCTTAGAACTTAAGTATATTGAAATGACATATTAACAAGTTTAACTGCCAATGAAACGAAACATTGTTTTTAAATATCCCAATACGAAGGAATAATGATTTTGAGTGGGTCAATAGTTCAGTGGTAGAATGCTTTTCAACCACACCTCACATGGTCTAGGGTTCGATTCCCGACCACCGAAGCATCCTTAAACCTCGCCTGATCGATAGTAGGCTCGGTAAAGAGGGAAGATGGTTAGTTGTGAGGCCAGAAACGCTGTCCTGTAAAAAAAAACGAAGAATCGCCATCACTACTGAAACTCCAAAGCTCAAGCATGAACTCCTCACCCCTCCCTACGTCCTATTCGGAACCCAAAGGAACTAATACAAATAATGACTACAAAACATAACTTACACAGGTGAATCGAAATACGGTGAACAATCGTTTACATCAATTAATTCAATCCGTACAGTTGTACGCAGAATAACAGCAGGTTGATTACCATCAAACACCGTATGCATTTCCACGCCTAATTCATACACAGAATGTGTTTCATAATCCAATGGTTTCAATGCAAATATTTGACCTGTTTGTGCATCAATTCTAAACAATTTTGTCTGTTGACTTAGTTCAATACTGTGAATATCATTTATAGACAATTGTCCATTTGATAATGATAATGGAGAGATATTAGTTAGGCTCCAAGAATGATTCAAACTGGCCGGTTTAACATCACATTTACCCACTTGACGATCAGAGAGAAAATCATCCTATGAAAATTAAAGAAGAGATCAATTAATTAATTCAATTATATTTATGTGTAGAATAAATAGTAAATTTATGATAGAAAGTAATGGTTTACAGGGGTAGACGAAAGTCAGGAGTGTGAACATAAGACTGAACTCTGTCACGTGGTATTTAATCGTGTTCTATTAACTCATCGGTGGTTCATTGGTAGATTATTTGCCATTGATTCCTGTCTGACTATACCGGTAAACCTCGTCTAGTTTACTAACCGGTAGGATGAGGCCTAAAAGCAGGGGAGGTTGAATGCGAAGAGAGAAAGCAATCCCATCTTGTGAAAACAACACCGCCGCCACAGTATGATGAAAGCCCGACGCCCTATCTCTATGTAGACTAACATCGGTTGTTGAGGAAGGTGAAGGCTTAGTATACACAAAACATGTCCTAGCCATCTCAATCAATGTAACTCCACAACCTCGTCAATTGACTTTCCCTCCTCACTTAACCCTCGACGCCTAACCTGCATATATCCCTTATCATACTATACCGTTTAACACAGGAGACAGAACTCACACACCTATGATCAAGGCGACAGCTAATCTTTTTATATCTTCCACTTTCAAAGGCTATATGTTTCACAATCATAAAGGAGGACAGGGTGAAGTACTGGACAATATAAGCGTCCTTTCATCGATAGCCGAATATCACATCTACACCAAAAATGATTTAATTTGGCAAATGCCACCCGATACCTTTATATCAGTGCTGAGATTTCGACAGCAATTAAATAAGTGAGGTGGTCAACACACTACTTCACTACCTATTTTCATGCTAGGAGTCAGAGTAGTCCAGTCTGGTAATATCATCATCTTATATCTGATAGGAGTGAACAGCATTCCACGCATTCAGAGATTTCTGCTCAAAGTGTTCAGAAGACTCTGCAGTCTGTCAGCATCATCACCTAAGAGGACAATATCATTCTCGCATACTCTAAATCGACGAGACTGTCCCCTGGTAACAAGTAAACCTCTAAGTCGGTGAAGTCAGCTAGAGTCAATCCATGTATCATCAGTTTAACATATTAATTCAACGCAATGAAGTGCTCAAAATAAGAGTTAATAACACAGAAAGCAACAAGTACCAGAGCTTCACTAGAATGAACAAAACAAAACATGGTCCGAGGTTCGATCCCTGCCGACGCACACCTGTTATCTTTGGTCAGCCTACAAAATTTGGGCTACCGATATCCATGGTGAAAATTCCATACTTGTACCAGAAATACAGTTTGGAATCAAGCTGTAATCAAAAATAAAAATAAATAAAAGAATTTACCTCTACTAAAGGTCTAGATAAACATATAATTTCTGGTAAAAGTGTAGACGATTCACCAGAGAATCGAATATTAATTTTCACTGGACTTGAGCATAATATAGCTGAATCAGCATAAATTGGTGAATCACACGCTTCAACTAGTAATTGTTGTTCAGTATCTTGAACCGTACTAGGTGACAACGGGGTATTCAACAAAAGTTTGCCTGTACTCGACTCAATTGAAAATCTTTTTGATACTTCTTGACGATAATGTTTCATAGAATTAGGTGGATGAAATATTCGATAGACGAGATGTGCATTTTCTTCAATATCTGCATCATATGCTTTCAGTTGTAATGGTAAGTAGACAGGGAAACTTGTCTCAATTGATGGTGGATTGTACATTGCAGGTAATAAAGTGAGCTAGAATATATAGACAGATGTAGGTATGAAAAAAAAGGGGAGATCGGTAAAAACGAGAACAAATTAAGTAGAGATTAACCTCACTAGATTAAATACAAGAAAAAAAATCAAGGTCTGATTAGTTAACAAAAGAATATTCTTCTCATAACTTCTTTATCAGGTTATATTGTTTAAATTACATTGAATCAATAAATAGTATCGATAGATGATTACATTTCAAAAGTAGCATCAATAAGAGAGATGATATGTTATTAGATAGTTGAACGCAATCGGCCAGAGGAAGCCTAGCCTGACCTACATTCCGTGCTAGTTGGTACTCACTCACCAGTCAGCCACGCGTATCTGCAACCAGCTTGAAGGAAATCATGTCCCTCCTGAGATTCGATCCCGCGTCACCCAGTGAGTACTGCAGTCGGTCAAAGACGTTACCACTGAGCTATTCGAGCTCGCGATTGACCTCCTGTAGGACTGTAGTGGGTATTTTGATTGGACACTAGTAACTAGTGTGATGTGTCTAGTGTCCTTTCTTTGGTGCAGACTGAATTCTATCAGTCAGGTTTGTAATGTGGCCAGTATTCTAGGTAGTTCGCCATCACGGTGTACATTGATTTGATGATATTAATATACCATCAAACTGACTGACTATCAGATACATTAGAGGAGGTAAGGCAGAATTTATGAATTTATAGGTTCCGCAGTGAGTCAGAGTAGCAATACTTACTAAACCTATTTCTTTTGTACACAGAGCTCTGGCTGTTTTAGGCGAATCGCAATGACCTCTACTGTGTGGTGTATTCGATACTTGGAGGCATTGTGGAGATTTCGTTGACACATGACAGATGATTGGAGATTCTTCACTACTTCAGCCTGTTCGGATAAACTGTTGATGACACCTTTATTTAGGCACTAGTGTTCCCGAGTACAAAAAATTAGTTTCCTAGAGCAACGGTAAATATAACTAGCTGCATAGGAGCAATTGAACTGATAAATATATGAAGAGATAGCTAGTCTAGGTACTTCATCTTTCTAGTGAGGAATCACAACCGGTTGTGTGCAAAATATGAGCTGAATCGGTTTTCTTAACTTGTTTCGTTTGGTGCGCTAAATCGTAATCGTTCTAGGAAACTAAATTTCCGTGTTCAGGGACACGAACACGGTTAAATAAAGGTGTCATCAAAACCACATATTCAACAGTCTTCAACTACTGGTTCTTAGAGGCTCGAGCACCCCACCCCCCCCCCACAAAGCAATGAAGTCTACACCATCCTTTATGGCTAAAATTGACAGTTAGAAACTTTATACATTAAATGCCATATTTTGGCTTGATCATCTTTCAACTCTTTTCCAACTTTTAATCCAGTCAACATTACTCAACAATGTAGGTATAACAATGTCTTAAGTTATTTCCAATATCAGTATCACAAATGAGGAGATTACAGTTAACAGATATGCTATTCTTTGGCAGGATTACATGAAACAGGATTCGAACCCAAAACAAGTTGGCTTAAAATTGACTGTTCATGCAAACGAACGATATGATCATTATGAGAAGAGGAAGACTGCGAAAAACACGACGACCTTTTTAGGAGTCACAGTAGACTACTAGGTCATACACTTTTTTTTTTATTCCTTTACGTTTCCAATGGAACATAGGACTTCAAGCTAGGGGCCTGAAGTTCCTATAGCAGTGGTGTTTATTTTTACGGGATGAGGTTGGTAGCCTCAGATCCAACCTTCTCTCTTTAGCAGTCTAATTACTGGCTTGGTGATGAGGTAAAGGAGTGCGCCGGTGACCGGGGATCGAGCCCCGGACCACATGTGTGGCTGGTAAGCATTCTACCGCTGTGCCACCGACGCACAGGTCATACAGAGCACAGCGTATTTCATATGTTAACAGATAGGAATATACACAAACAGTAAACACCAACTCTATCATGACAATCTCTAGTGACACTGAAATCAAGAGTACGTTTGAGCTGAAAAGAAAATCTGCTTCACTCAGTATGATGTGAAAATGGTGAATTACACAGAATATGGAAATAGTCTGCTTATGATGTAAACACACCACCGGTATACTGAATTGCATATCTTGGGAAACAAGAACATAATCAATGTAGTAAAATCATTAATAAAGGAACAAAAAAAGCTGGAGAACATATTTCTCACACAGAAATATACAATGCCTAATTTACTGGGAGATTCACACGGACACATAATTTTCCAAATTCTAACTGCTTCTCTCGCTGTCTCTCCCTTTCCCAATCTACTTATCTATCTAAATTTACAAAGTTATACAAAGCCTTCGTCCATCACATCTTGATCACAGGAATATCAATCTCATAATCTCTAAACATCTAAGGAAATTCCGCCATGGGAATGCATACAGCAGTCAAACTGTAAGTGTATCTCTTGTAGTCATAATTAGTCATACACAGTAAACTATCCACTTAAGACATAAAAGAAGATAACTAAAGTCTAATAATGCAATTCCCTATTTATATCACTAAACTGCCCCGGAAGACACCCAACCGATAGGTACTACCTTCGCGTGGCTGTCGGGCTTGCATATCGCCCAAATTACCAAACAAGCTACACTGACTGGAACTTATGTTCATGTCAGTTTCTGTCATGCCTGAAAGGTCGTTTGTGCAGAGAACAGACTAAAGGCAGTAACTATCGTTTACACAATATTGAGGGTATATGGGAAAAGTCTTATACTCCTGACAAATCGGGAAGTAACAACAGTGAGGTGTTCCCCTCAGACGACAGCTTATGTAGCCTCTCCACTCTGAAGATGATGATGATGGGTGAGGGATTAGAAAAGGTCGATCCCGAAAATTGTACATCCCTATTTACCCTCCATAATAGTGGGGTAGCAGGTAAGAGTAACAGCCGTACACACACTTCCATAAGCATACAAAGCCTTCTTCATCACTCTTGAAGACAACCAACTCCAGATAGCTTATTTCATCACTCAATGAATAATAGGAATATAAATTACGCTAAAGCAAGGCTTACCTCATAGTTAACTTGTCCAAATAATGGTCGATTATCATTCATATCTTTAACTGATATATCCAATTTCATATAATCCATTAGATCACCACCATCTTTAACACAAATCAATAGGCTATATTGACTTTTCACTTCTCTATCCAATAGGCGAGCTAAACGAATGGTACCTAACGCGAGGAAGAGGAGGATGAAAAAGAAGAAGAAGAAGAAAGGATAAAGCTAATTTATTTGGTGCATGGTGTTTACCAGTGGAATCCATTGGGATGTATATTTTGTCCAATCTACGACCCATCAGTCAACTGCATGTACCTGCAATCCTCAGTGAGACTCAAACGCAGCCAACGCCCATCGTTTCAAGAGTCAAAGTATTATCCACTAGACCACTTTGGTCACGAGACATCGTCGAAGAATCCGTACTAGGAGTTGATGAGCCAACCGAGGCCGAACATTCCCAACCAATCTTATTTATTTATTTAAACGCATATAAACTTGGTACAATGTGGCACCAAGAAGGATGCGCCACACAATAATAATATAACAACATAGATCAAAAGAAAAAAAAATAATTAGAGAACGGATAAAGAACTTCATCTGGAAGGAAAACAGTCATGCTTAACAAGTTCAAAGAGTATTCGTTAACTATCATCGGGAAGGGAAGAAAGAAGGAAATCGCAACACGTTCTCCATTGATTACGATTCTTCGTCATATCCGATGACGTTTCGAGCCATCGATTTGAGCTATCTCTCGGACCCCAACCAGGGAGTCGTGACGCACCAACCGATGCTAATCTAGCACAAAATTCCTTCATCCCACGACGCCACGTCATGGACTGACCACCTCTCCGACTTTTCCATCCCGTCCTAGGGCTAGCGAACAGAGACCTGTACGGAAGCCTCTGGGATGACATTCGCAGCACATGTCCAAGCCACCGAAGCCGGTGTTTCCAGATGACGATACTCAGTGAATAGTGATCTCCACTGTGCTCAAACACACGCCGCCGAACCTCAGAATTACTCACGCGATGACGCTATCCATCGAACGCAAGCAATCCTGCAGAGACAGCGATGATCGAACACGCAGAGTCGCCACATATCCTCAGCTCGGAGAGGCCAGGTTTCACAGGCGTAGAGCAAGACAGCCCGCACCGAAGCACTGTATACACAATCTTTGACAGCCAGGCTAACGTCGCGACGGCGCCAGAGGTGGCTGAAGTTGATGTATGCCACCCTAGCCTTCATTATACGGTTGGAAATCTCATCCGTCACCCCTCCGCCAGCACTCACACAACTATCCAGGTACACAAAATTATCAACAACTTCGAGCGGTTCACCCGCAACAGTGAGTGCAGGTACCGGCTCCTGCCAATCTTGTAACAGTACTTTACACTTAGACGGCGCAAAGCACATACCATATTTACAATATCATCAATCAACCAATCAATCAGTCAATTCTTTTACATGGTTAAGAGATCTGGTGTGTCACGAAAAGCACTTCCAAAAGCTTGCTATAGACTTTTATCAACAGATGTCGCCTTCGCTGGCTCCATACTGAAGATCAGATGGTCAGTTTGGTCAGAAAGGATTAGCAACAAGGAACTCTAGCAGTGCAACCGACTAACCAACAACCTATACCCCCCCCCTCCCACCAAATACAAAGGAAATGGGGATGGAAGGGAAATATGCTAAGAAGACCGTTGAGAGACAATGATATGCAGGAGATAGCGTAAGGCGAAGGAGATGAAAGCTTACAATACAAGGAAATCGATGAGCTTCAGCTAAAGAGAACTGAAGAAAAAAACAGGCTGAAATGAAGGTGTTTTGTGGAAGCCCAATGTTCCACTTGGAACCCGACGGGTTGATAATAACAATTAATTAATCAATCTATGACTTCAGACAAAAATTACATTAAACTAAATAAACTACTGAAATAGAAATGACACCTAGTAGTAACAATAAAACCTAATCATGATTATCGTTATTGCACACAAAAAGAAAAATAATAAAAAGATAATCAAAACAGATGAAATGTGGAGGAAAAAAACTGCCTAGTAAATAAACAGTGAGCAGGTTAATAATAATAATAATGTCAATACACATCTGCAAATATTTAACATAGCCAGGTTAGAGAGACTAGCTGACTGACCGTGCCATCACCACTGATCGCAAGATAACAACCGTTTATTATTATTATTATTTCTACATTTCGGATAAATTCATAGCCTTAGGGTATGATCTAATCACACAAACAGACAAACAGACACACACATACACACAAACAAACAAATATACACATAGTAATACACTAACAAAGTAATAAAGGAACTTAGTAAGTAAACAAAAGCTTTAGGAGAGAAGAATATTTTGAAGGTAGAAAGCAGGGGGGATATAGGACATACAGTTAAACGAAATGAGACTAAATCAATAAGATGATGATAATGATGGTGATAACGTATAGTGAGTGTCTCATTATTTCTAGTTGGAATAGGTATGTGCGTATGTGTGTGTGTGTGTGTGTGTCAATTATGAATACTCTCCCTACTTCTCTTAGTAGTCTATCAATAAACCTTAGTCATGAAACAAAATAAGTGAATTAAGGAAATATAATATAAAATTATTTTTTTTAAATCATAGAAATTAACACATATAATATAGTAATAATAATGTGAGGATTACTCAAAATATTGATGATGGATAGCTGGGGGCAATCGGAAGGAAGCCCCACCAGCTCACCTGGGCTTTGTGCTTGTTGGCAGTAAACAATCAGCAAGGCGTATTTACAACCTGGATGGGATTCATGTCACCCTCTGGGAATAAGATACGCGTCACCCAAAGAGGCTGCAAGTGAGCTACTCAGGTACAAGATTGATCTCCTGTAGGACATTAAAAGGTACACAGATTGGTCTAGAGGAAGTAACCAACGTCTTGATGCATATAGTCCTTGATGTTAGAGGGGACAAGAATTGCTTTAAGGTTGTAGATACACCCTAAGTTTAGGGACTCCAGAAAAAAAGTCGATTATTATTTATTTACTAAGTTTTGTTTTTACGAGTTGATCACGGATCGATATCAGTTAGAGAATCATTGGAAACCAGCATTGGAGTATTGGACAGCCAGCTGTTTCATCCTAGTTTGAGAATCATCGGCAATAGACACCCACCACCAGGGCTCGAACCCAAGACTTTCCGGTTTCAAAGCAAGCTGGCTCGTATACCATTAAGCCAGCGTGACCCGATTCAATGTCTTGTGAATTCTAACTTCTATCAATTGGTGATTTAGTGCGACCCCTACCAATATCGTCGGTGGGACATCCATCCTCACACGTGACATCTGGATGGACCTCACTGGTCACAACTTCTCACTAGAACTCCAGGAAACTCCATCCTGTAGCAAGTCACTAGCGAGCATCAGAAAATTTATTATTTTATCCTTTTGCATTCCGAGGGCTTCAGGCTACAGTTGTGAGGTTGATAGCATCACTGCCAATTTTCCCTCTCTACAGGACTTATTACCGACTAAGAGAGGTTTAAGAGTTAGTCCGTTGCCAGGAATCGAATCCTGAACCACGTGAGGGGTGGTTGACGAGCGTTCCACTGCTAAACCACCAAGGCCCTACGTAAATTCGGTTGGCAGTAATAAATCAGAGGACTATGTATACACACATGGTCCCATAGCCAAATGTCGACTTCGAGTAAGACAGATCAGAATTCTTAGGATAAAAAACATAACACCATTAGACAAAACTGTCTCTTGTATCAAATTAGAACACGAAACAAGAGATCAATAAAAAAAAATTAGATTCCCCTTGTTTTACAAAAAAATATTCACAATCTTACCATCTTTGGCATCGATGCTAAACCATTCACGACCATAACCGCCAACTATGCTGTATGCTAATTGACCATATTTACCACGATCTGAATCTTTAGCTGGTTGAATACGATTAACAATAGAGCCAACAGTTGTCAACTCTGATATCTCCCACCATTCATATTTTGGTAGATTAAATCTAGGCGGTTCCCAATTACTAGGTTCTAGATTAACTATTACATCACATGTTGTTGAGTGTAGACCATCAGTAACTTCAACCTGGAAATAACAATAAAAGACGGGAAATATAATTAAATAAAATAAAATAAATATATACACTTTGTGGAATATGCGACTAACTAGTATTGCTGTGTTACGCATGCCTAGTCATCGTGTCTTCCTCAACGACAAATGTTAATTGCCATAGGATCAGTTTGGAAAAGAGCTAGTGGCGGTCAAACCAACATTTGGCATCGATCCATGAAATCTGACAATTGGTTTGACGTAGCCACGTAGGGAGATATAAATTAACTGGATGGGGTCTTCGAAATGTTAGGAAACAATGTCTGGAGAAAATCGATGATATGGCTCAAAATCAATCGTTGATATTGGCGCAGATCCACTCACTCTTTGTGATTTCCTAGATCCACTGAAAACAAATCTTTCACCACTTTAATATTCTTTTTCCTCCCTGTTATGTACTCGTCGCCAAATTATTGTTATGTACTGGTCGAGAATTTAATAGTCCTGACGCAAGAAAGACGGAAATCAGAAAACCACTAGGTTTGCGATGATACTTCTATTTTCCAAACACAAAGAGAATCAATGTCACACAAGTGTGTGAGAGCAAAATTATATATGAATGTCCAAACAAGTGTGTGAACACAAGCGTGCGAGCGAATATTCAAAATGAACAAATCAATAGACAGTCTTAACATGATTGGCTAATTATAATGGAGTATCGATCCATATATACATAGCGAAATATAACAGACTGTCAAAAAAAACACATATTATATGGATATATATCACCAAGAACAGACCGTCAACAAACACACATATTATATATAATATAAGGGGAATATACATTGTTAAAGGAGACAGGTTCATCAAAGTGAAATGGCCACAGACTAAGAGAGCAACAGAAAGAGAGACCACCATATATATATATATATATATATATATATATATATATATATATCACTCCCTCAATTCTCTGTTTATTTCAGGTCTTTTGAACCTTTTTCTTACGCTTTTGTGTGCTTCAAGGAGTGTGGCAACTTGAATTGCTGCAATCCTGTGGAACGTTCTACGTCTAAACTCAGTCAGTCACTGTAAATCAGGAGTGAATAATATAAGCTGTAGCAAATAAGAAAACTTACCGCGATTTCGGTTCAACATTACACTCGAATAGGTGGTAGAACGGAAGCAGTCATTTATGATTTGAATTTTCTCGGGTAGCAGTAGTCAGTCTTATGTGCGATTAGATATTGCGTGCTCAGAGAGGAATGCTGTACTTGCATACCAGATATTGTATACCGTTGGTGTTTTCTCGACATTATCCATACAGATAGAATATCTACCACTTGGCAACAGCTTTTATCCTCACTGTCGATTCGGGATAAGTACTAAGTGAATCAGGTTTGGTCACGAACTGACAGCAGTTAGAGAAAACCGTTGAAAATTAGCAGCGAGTACTGGACATCGGTTTCGAACTTGCTGGTAACTTTCCAGCAGTAAACACTTATGAACCCAATACCGTTAGGGGTCGAGCTCAGGATCTTCAGGTTATGAGGTGACCTCGTTGACCATTCAACCAAATTGGGTGGCAATCCAATGGCCAGACCATGAATTCCAACAACTTCTGTCAACTAGCGATTTTTAGCGCTATCGCCAGCCAATATCATCGGCGAGTGTTTCTCCCCACATCCCACTCGAACACTAGTCGGTGAGTACTACTGAGAAGAGTCCCAAATTGGGACGAAACAGCTACCCAGTACTCCTCCCAGATTAATTAACAATGGTAAGCAGAAAACACAGTAACACTTGATTCTTTTGATTAGGATTCTTTAATTAGGTTGACAATAAAATATCTTCCGTTATCCAGTGGATGGATGGAAAGGAGGAGAACAAGAGATGAAAGACAACCAAAAAGTGTATCGATTCCTGTGCTGAACAGACGATATCCCCTATTTGATCAACCTGAAACAACACAAACCCGTATCCATATAAACACACACACACACAGACCTTCACAAATGTAGACACCCGACACATCTATACACACTCAACTGCCAACAATCAAACAATCTTGACAAAACTATAAAATAATCTAGATGTCGTAAGACCCTTTAATTATTAGACACCATCAACAACAACAACAACAAAACGGAAATCAAGGAGAGAAAAAGCTAAACAAACGACGACAACAACAACACAACAAACAAGTCAGAAAACAATTTTGTCATGCCAAAATGAAAAAAAAAGAGAAAACAGAAAAGAAATCAAGGTCAGTTTCACTAACAAACTATCAGGCAGGATATATGAAAAAGACACTTATATAAAGAAGAAACACACACACACACACAAACGAAATCAATTTCGAGTGGAGATGAAAAACGGGAGAAAAAAACACAAACAAACATTAAAAAAATCAGGGAAATAAAAAATTATATTTCTTTGCTCAGCAAATTAAATCAAATAAAAGAAATAGAAACAAGGTTAATGAGAAGGTGAGACAAGTAGAAAAGCTCTGTACGACTGACTGCCTGACTGACTGACTCATTGGAAAAATTAAATGACTTAAATAGAGTCACTTTTTTGAGGAGATTTTCCAAAAAGAAACAATTGATGACATTGATGGGAAAAGATGGGAATAAAGAAATTTGAGAAAACAACAATTGCTGAAAATTCCCTTACATGAGTGACCCCTTTCATAAGGAAAATTGCGAAAAACTAACGGTCTAGAGAACAATCAACCAAACTGAATTAGTATTCAGGATTGATCACGGGTTAACATCATCTAGGGAATCATAGAAAACCAGTAGAGAGTATTGAACAGCTGTTTCGTCCTAGTTTGGGACTCTTCGACAGTAAGTACCCATGACTCCACTGCTAGGGATTGAGTATAGTACCTACAGGTTATTGATCATTCAACCAATAGGACTGAATCTAATGACTCACAGATTGTAATTTTTGTAACAACCACCTACCAATGTCAGTGGTAAGTATTTGTCTTTACACTAGACACTGACTCGACATGGTGCGTTCTGGAGTTCTTCAGTGAGAAGTCGTGACCAGTGGGATCCACCACCAACGACACTGACCAATGGTGGTGCCAAATATCGTGAATTGATAGAAGGCAGAATTCATGGGTAGAGCATTAGGTTCCTTCCAAGTAACTAAATGGGCAAAATGGGGGGGTCTCGAAACCTGAAGGTCCTCGGTCTGATCTCTAGCGGTAGGACTATGAATATGAAATACTGAAGAGTCCTAAACTAGAATGAAACAACTGTACAATACTCCCTAGGGGTTTTCAATTGTTCTCTCTGCCTGATGTCGATCCTTGGTCAAACTTAAAAAACTAACACTTGAATTAGTAATGAAGAAGCAATTCTAATGCATATTAAATTGATGCAACGACTGAAGGCAAGAACTGGTACAAAAGGGTTTCTAATATGAAGACTACGGTAAACCAGCCAGTCGGCAGAACGATGTCAAGTATACACTGTTTATCTTTGCAAAATCGAGTCTACCGCTGTGTGGTTAAATTGGCTTAAGCACTCAACTTTCATCTGGTAGGTCACGGGCCTGAATCTCGCTCCATTTACTTCAAACTGGACAAATGGTTAGAATCATCCATCCATACACAAGAAGTGTGATGCTTATAGTCTGGTAATACATGAAAGACCTGCTTTGGGTAATTGTTTTGCAACACAGTTGATTGATTTCACAACGTCACGCTTACAATTAGAACTTTGAAGGCATGTGTGAGCAGTAAGTTTAAGAAGACTTATCTGAAGACAGGCTATTCTGGTTTAATCTAATCGAAATGGTTTATAATAGTTCTGAAAATGGTATTAATTTACTATGCTACAATTACTTTGAGACCAATTCTTTAACCTAGACAGGCAGCAGTTCATTAACAACTACCCAATGTTCACAGAGTTTACTGTCCTGTTAGGGCATGTAATGTAACAAAATAGTTACGATAAAGTGTCTCATTTACTTGCTCTTGAACAGAAAAGTAGGAAACGTTGTAGTCTGTAACAAGACTAGCGAAATGACGTCATAGACTCTATCATTTAGATAAAAACTTTCTGAAAGTAAAAACTCAACTATAAAGCTCGTAACTGTTCCTTACAAGTACACACACACACACATGATAATACTGCTTTCCCATGTTCTCCTTCTCTCTGAACATCACATTCAAACACATAAATTCACTCGGGATGTGAATGAGGTTAACAATAATATGTAATACAATAATGGTTCGTTACATTTCATTAATAAAGAAAAACCCAGTAGAATAACAATAATAATAATAATAGTATGAAAAACATTGAGGTTTTCGAAGGCATAAACATAATCAAACTTTCTCATGAATAATCACTTCTAATAACTACTGTCTCTGTATGTCAATATGTATCAAAAAAATTACGAGTTAGGCGAAGTTAATGTAACGATGCTATCCCTATTACATTGCCTATAATCGTGCACGTTTTGGAAACGGTTAGTTATCACAGGGGGAAAGGAACGTACTGTGTTTCATCTCAAGCTAAATTACACCGCTGATAGATATTCCTAATTGTTGTGGACTGGATCATAAAACAGACAGTGAGTGGGTGCGACAAGACGGGAATACATTGGATCGATAAAAGACCTACACTTCTCGGATGATTAATGCTTAATGTCACAGATCAAACTCAAAAATCTACAGGAAAAAAAACCAAACAGTAACAAAAAGCACCAATCACTGTCTACGAGATCAGATTTGAACGAGGATACTCCTTTCACTTATTTGGCATGGTAGCATCATTTCAACTACACGCAGTAACAACAGCAGCCACGGATGAGGGTGTCAAAGACAGCAATAATTCGAAAAGCTAGACAGATCTTCAATAACTCTGAAATCATTGTGGAAATCTACGACTGCACTCAGGATAATAAAAAACGAAATTCAGATTTTCAACACTAATGTCAAGCCAGTAATGTGCTTCTATATGGTTCGGAGACTTGCCGCTTCCTTCTTGGCTGGCACCATACTGTAGATCAGATGGCTAAGTGGAAAGGATTGACAACAGGGAACTCTAGAAATAAAAAAAAACCAAGAACCTATCTCAAAAAAGAAAAATACCAAACACACATGCCGAAAGGACCGTCTAGTGGAACGGGAATGGGAAACGGTGAGTTTATAGTGTGTCCTAAGGTAACATGGAGATGATTGTACGAGGCAGAGGAGATGGACAGTCATGGAGCCAGCCAACAGAGGACTGCAGAAAACAGGATCAGAATGGAGATGCCCTGTTGAAGCTCTATGTTCCACTCGGCAAAACCCGAGGGAATAATAATCATAATAATGTTATGATTATCGTAACGCACTAGAGAACTAGGCGGCAAAGAGAAGTTATGCTTGTTTTGCAATTAGAAAACAGAAAGATTGAGCGAAGAAATATTTACTTTTCAATTAGATCCTCATCTCACTCTGGCTCTACTCTAATATACACCTATAGCATTTTAATTACAATACACAACAATTTACCAATCAAGTGGCACTGATATGTTTGTTAACAATAATTAGTCAGTGTCAAAATGTCAATGGGTTAATAATTAACAAAGAAAATCAATACAGATTTAAAAGGTAGAAAGGGATAGAATAAATTAATTTTACAAGGATAACACGTAAATTAAAGATGAAGTGGTCAAAATAAATAATTTAGACAAATATAATTTTTATAAGTTTAGGGGGAGGGGGGGCGACGCAGTCCTGTTTATGTATTCTTGTGACGATGGCCACGGTAGGGAACGTGGCTGTACAAATTTTTTCTGTACACATAGGCTTGGATTCTTCAGGTGAATTCCGATCGCTTCAGCCGTCTGTAGAAGACGAACTCGCAAAGCAAAATTAAGATAAGTCGGAATGCGATAAATAATTTTAAATGCTGTATTAACATCAATCTTATGCTCAGTATCAACGAGGTGGGCTAAAATAGAGCTATGAATAGATCTTTTTTGTCCCTTACTTAACCACGTTGGATGATGTTCGGAAATACGACGATGAACTTGCAATTAACTGTGTATCATTACATGTATTCAAAAGTCATGTCTGAATGACTGACTGACTGACTGACTGACTGACTGACTGACTGACTGACTGACTGACTGACTGACTGACTGACTGACTGACTGACTGACTGGTTTCAACATAGAACTTTGCACCAATATGCAGGAGTTCGAGTCGTCACACTTCACTTAGCACACAAAGCAAGAGAAGAAAGTAAAAAGAGATTCAAAACAGAGATATGAATTAATAACGAAGAACAATATAGTTTCATTAGGTATCGCAAGTCACAAGAAGTGGATGTATCTGCGCCAGCCACTTAAAACGATTCTGAGCCATATCACCAATTGTCTCCAGCCGCCACCATTGGTTTTTACCGTCCCCAAGGACGCTAACCAGGAACCCAGTCTACACCTACCCTACCGTGGCAGGTGGCTTAAACTAACTATTGTGAATTTCATTGACTGATGAGATCATGTTTTGGTTTGACCACTAGCCGCTCTTTTCCAACCTGACCCTATATCAGCTAACATTCCTCGTCGAGGAAGGCGATCAATGGCTAGGCAGGCATACGTAACACATGTCCTAACCATCTCAGTCTATGTAACTTCACAGCCTCGTCGATTGATTTCCCCTCCTTACCTAGAACTCGACCAAAGCCTAACCTCAATATTGCTCACCTTATTATACCACTTCACACGGGAGAAAGAACGCAGGCACCTATGATCAAAGACAGCTAATCTTTTCATGTCTTCCACTCTCAATGGCCATGTCTCACAGCTAGCCATAAAGGAGGACGAAGCGGACTTCAAAAGTCATGTGCTTAGATTGCTGTACATTTACGGTCAAATAAGGGAGACAATAGTCATTTACGCTACTGATAATTTCTTAGAACAAACTTATTACGTTTTAACGCATAACATATGACCCCACACACCCCACCCCCACCTGAACGACATAAAATAAAAAATACATAACTCACTTTGATTTTCAATTCATCTACAGAATAAGTTGACTGAAAACTTGACAGAAAATCATCATCATCATCATCACTGGTTGTAATCACCTCGAGGGGATTTGAAGTATGAAAAAAGACCGGTTTTCCATAGATATTTACCAAAGGTAACCAACGTAATACACCATCATGTTGACCAAGATGAAAATACAAAGTTTCATTTTGATGTATTGATGCTATCCTATAGGTTAACGATGCATTCATATCAGGGTCAGAAGCAGATAACTGGAGAATTACGGTACCGATTGGAGAACGTTCATTTAATTTAGCATGGTAAACACACTTATTATTATTATTATTATTATTATTATTATTATTATTAGGCACATTTTTATTAGTATCAACTTCATGATGAATATTGTCAATTGGAGAAGGAGAATTTGTAACTGACAGAGAAACTGGTGTGTCAAAGTAAGGCGGATTGTCGTTGACATCCAAGACATGAATCTACAAAAATATTTGTAACAATAATGAAGAATAATGAAAACATCCCAAACCATGATCGCATGAGGTTAAAAAAATTCATTGATCAATCCATCGACAAGTATAATAGAGAAAGTGCCACACAGACTGTAAATACTGCACGACTACACACCGACGTCAATTTCAAACATTAGAACGAATGTAAGGCGTAAAAGTCAGATAGTTCAACGATAACTGACGCACAGTTTCATGCATAATATAATTTCAAAATAAATCTTCTTATATATTATTTAAGACAAAGAGCATATATGTAGGAAAATGTACTGAAATTATGTTGTAAAATAACTACCCGACAGATAGGTATCCCCATGACATGATCTTTGAGCCGCGTATGTAGCAATGACTCAAAGATCCATGCTGAATGAAACGAATGCTAGAAAGGTAAGTTGAACAATAGTTAGACAAGGGGTATTTGCCATTTCCAATGTAAGTTACCACTATACAATTGTGGAAACACCTGGGGGACCGAATCCAAACTGTTGATAGATGAGGGTTTAGTGATAGTAAATGAAGTATCTCCATCGACAGACCAGTAGGTCAGTTGTCTTGTCCAAGAAAAGTACATCCTTCTAATCAACATACTCTGATCGTATTTATGCAACACTCCACTTACTTCAACTTGAGCAACTGGATAGTATTGCCGGAACACTTACAATAAGTGTGACCCGTAGACTGCAAACTTCATTAAGTCAGTTTGTCAAGTACGCTGTAAAGAAAGGTTACATATCTTGTAACTGAGATTGAAATTCCATAATCCTTTGTAGGTTAAAAACTCTAAAGCAGTCGAATTCAAGTTAATTAAGGTGGTTCAACGGGAAAATTCTCGCCAACGACTACTCATGTCGTCCAGATCCGATTCTCAGCCGACTCACTCTTAAACTTCACTCAGCCAGCAGTCAGCTCGGTAAGAAGAGAAGGTCGGGCGTGAGGTTAGCAAATCAACTCCATAACAAAATAACACTACTGTTACTGAAACGTCAAACCTAAAGCTTGAAGCCCTAAGTTCCACTAGGAAAGCAAACGAAGTAAAAAGAAAACGACAGAATTCAACCCTATAAATAGACCAGGTACACACTCTTTACACATATTGGTGATAATCACTAATATTTATAAACAGACAGAATATTAAAATGTAACTATGAGAAGCGTACATCATTGGTTTGGCGGTAGAATGCTCGCCAACTACGCATCATGTGGTTCGAGTCCCGACCAGCCCACACCTTTACCTCCCCATCCCTAATTGTAACTCCAACAAACCGGGGAAGCTGGGGTGTGTTTCCAGGGTCCCAACCTCGTCGGACCGTCGCTGCTACTCGAACTTCAAGCCCTATGTTCCAGCCGGAACGTAAGGGAATGAAAATTTAGAAAAAAAACTATAAATAACAAAAAAACTCACATATAATGGTACACGTGTTACCAATGGATTGGCGGTCAGATCTGATGCAATAGCCCAAAATAAATATTCACGTACCACTTCGAAATCCAGCGGTTTGGCGATGAAAACCTCACCTGTCTCAGGATCACACTTAAAATGTGAATGTAGACTAGAATCTGGCAGTACACTATTCAACTCTAAACTGTATTTAATCTGCAAAAGGAAGAAAAAAGAAGTTTAAAGGTTCCAATGGTTATTCGTTAAAAAAAGCGTAGGATCCAGAAGAATAAATTAATTCGTTATTTCTCTCAGTTCAATCAATACTTTTAGAGAGTGTTACAATTGTAGAATAAAAGAAAAGTAGGAACTGCATTATACTGTAAGCTAAGTATCGAAATCTATTCCAGCGTAGCCTAAAACAAACACCAAGATGAGGTTACGAAGAGAATACACATATAGTAGTACTGCTTATCAAGAGAGACAGAAAGACTAACTGAGTTGCAACATAGACCTTTGCACAGAAGTGTACCAATTTAAAGTTGCCATGCTGCATAAAAAGGTAGACAGAAGGGAGTACAGATTCGAAATCAGGAGAAGTGTACGGGAGGAAGAAAGAATAGTAACATGGGGGGGGGGAAATCAAGGTTAAATAGGTCTGGGGGATTACGAAGAGTGACAAAAATCTCTTTTTTAAGCCATCAGTAGTCTCAAGCCATCGGATCTTAGCAGCATGCTGACTGTCTGTCTGTCTATCTGTCTGCTTTCAACATAGAACTTTGCACATATGTGCACCAGTTCAAGTCGCCACACTCCCTCCATGTAGCACACAAAGCAACAGAAGAAAGTAGGAGAAATGCATAATAGCGACAGTGAACAGAGGTGTGAGACAAAGGAATAGTAATAACGAAGAACAATATAGTTTCATTGGAAGTCATAAGTCACAGGGAGTGGATGCATCTGCGCCAGCTAGCCATTGAGAACGATCACTTTGAGCCATATCACCAATTGTTTCCAACAATTGATTTTTACCGTTCCGACGACCCCAACCAGTCAGGAAATCTACACCTTCCTACGCGGCTTAGACTAACTGTTGTGGATTTCATTGACTAATGAAACCATGTTTCGGTTTGACCACCACTGGCTCTTTTTCAACCTGACCCCATGTCAGCTAACATTGACCGTCGACGAAGGAGATGAATGGCTAGGCATACGTAACACATGTCCTAACCATCTCAGTTGATGTAACCTACCTAGGACTCGACCGAAGTCTAACCTCAATACTGTTTACCCTATTATACCATTTCACACGAGGGATAGAATGCAGACACCTATGATCAAAGACAGGTAATCTTTTCATGCTGAGGTGAATAACAAACCCACCAGCCCCCCACCACCACCACCCCCGGCTTAAACAGTCAGTTCACATCTCTTTATCTGACTGACTCAAACCTAACTGTCAAAGACTGTGTACACATATTGTGTGATTAGATATTTTGATATGACCACCCATATTATAACTCTTTTTTCCAATCTTATCCTATCCTATATATATCATCTTTTGTTCAAGAAAGGCGGTATTTCAGCTTGTAGAAATAACTTGGTCATCCTAACTATCATCATCATCAATCGATGCAGAGACACAAGAAAAAAACACATTTAAAAAAAAACTCCAGGCAATTGAAAGTAGTATAAATTAAAGCATATACAAGTGGACTTTAACAAAGACTTTAATCAATTATTTTTTTATTAATAAAGAAAAGAAAAATCATTTTCAAAGTTTGATAAAACAGTCAAAAAACCTTCAAAAGTATCAAAATTAACTTTTGATAGCGAAAAGGAGAAAAAGAAGGACGATTTTAGCTGACAGATTACTCGTTCGTTGTGCAATAAATAGATGATGTAATCAGATAAGGAAATAAGAATTAGAGATCTATCTGCCTGTCGCCTTTAATATGACAGTGGAAAGCAAAAAACAACTTATTCAATGATAATAATAATAATAATAGTAAAGTTAATAAATAAGCCTTGTAATCATGATTTACGTCGTCTCCACTGAAGGCTAAACATCATTAACAGTAAGTAAGTGATACAATCGATTAGGAAGTTTAGCTTTGAGACAAAACACAAAAAGTAACCCCAAGTGACAGGTGTCTAGATGAGACTAAATAGTCTTGGTATATATTATTATTATTATTATTATTATTATTATATGAATATAAACTATAAATAAGTTATGTCATAATAATAATATACATGGCAGTAATGATAACAAAATTAAACATTTGCACGTTAATCAATAATCGAATCACATGAACAACAGAAAGGCCAAAGTGATGAACATATAATGAGTCATTATATGTACAGAATAATTATACAAGTGATACACAGTTGGAAAAACAGAGATAACAGTGTTAATCCCTTGGATAAGAAGAGCTATCAAGATAACAGATTCCGTGAGATGATGACATCATTATTTCGCAGTTTCTTGACGATCAATTTACAACTAGCAGGGATGACAATTACTCAGTTATATGACAAAACAAAAGTACATACTACGAATAACCATTCACATTTTAATTAGTCAAGTAGTCCGTGGTAGGCGAAGACTGAAGTCTATTTTGTTTTCTGTATACACACACACACACACACACACACAAACTAGTTTGGGATGCATTTGAAATGCCTATTTTCAAGTGCTGGCGTAAAATTTGCACGAGAGACAAATTAATGGATGAGCTACGTCGTATACATTCCGGTTTTATTGACTAGTGGTTATCTTACCGCTTGAAAAGGCAGTTTCAGTACTAACGAAAGCTATTTTCATTAGTCTACGAAATCATGCAATGGAAAACTCAAAGGCCTTTGGTTACCTATCAACAGCAGATTCTAAGCCGTATCTCCTTTCTTTACATCCCAAACAGTTTCAACTCCTTTGACTACGATTACAGAATAAAATTCACTGGATTCTACTTCACACTAGTAGATACCAGTGTGTTCATGTTCATATATATATATATATATTATATCCTTTAGTTCCCAGAGGAACATAGGGCTTCAGCTGCGCACCTCCATTGCCTTCAGTTTTCTGACAACTTTTTCACACCGCTCCAAGTCTGCCCACATGCTTTCATCTCCTCCTCGCACGACCTCCTCCAAGTCACACTTGCACTGACAACCAACTCGGCGCTCCCCTTTCGGGTTCCATTCGAGCGATGGCTTGTCTAGTGATGTCACTTGTCAGTCTCCTCAAGGTATGGCCAATCCATCTCCATTTCTTCCTGACTATTTGTTTCACAATCGGTCCCTGGTTGGTTCGCTCATTGCCAGAGATCCCTGTTGCTGATCTTTTCTGACCGGCCATCTGATCTTGAGTATTGAGCGAAGACAACTGTAAATGAAGCTCTGAAGTTTGTTTGAGATGCTCCTTATGACTCGCCAAGTCTCTGATCCATTCGTATAGCAGCACTGACTTCACATTGGAGTTGAAAATCCGGATCTTATTTTCATTTTCATGCTGAGTGCTGTTGACCTCAACACAGACTTAAGAGTAATGAAAGCCTGTCTTGCTTTTCCAATCCTTGCTTTGATATCCTCGTCACTTCCGCCTGTAGTTGAAACGATGTTTCCCAGGTAGGTAAAAGAGGTTGTTTCTTTCAGGTTCCTCCCATTTATGCTGGCTGATTGTTGTCTGTTGTTGTTGCTGCCGTTGGTGTTGGCCAGGAATCTTCATCACCTCCGTTTTCTCTATGTTCACCTGAAGTCCTATCTTCTCTGGATGCCTGTTCTGCCAACTTGTTGCTTTTCACTTTCATATCTTCCACTTTGTGGGAAATCAGACATATATCAATCATCAGCGAAGTTCAGATCATCCAAGTTCTTGTTTTGTGTGAGTCCATTTATGCCTGTTCTCTCATTGCCCGTTGTCTGTCGCATTATCCAATCTACTGCAATCAGGAAGATCATTGGTGATAGTAGACAGCCTTGTCTGTAGCAGTGTTTATTTTTACAGGATGAGGTTGCTAGCCTCTTCATCAGCATTATTTCTGGCTTAGTAAGGTGAAGCAGTTCGCCGGCCGGGGATCGAACTCCGGACGATATGCATGGTCGGCGAGCGTCATAGTCGCTATGCCACTGACGTACTACTAACAGTTGTTACTAACTACAAATCACTTTTTATGGCCAAGATAACACAACAACCGAGGCACTCCCAAGTCTCAACTAGCAACCTCACACCGGGAAAACAATATCATCGCCATTGAAATCTCAATCTTAAAGTACTACGTTCCACTGGGGACGCAAGGGCATGAAATGAAAATCCTTGTTGGTGCTGATCTTCAGGATTGGGTGACATGGACTCGAATTTTAGAGGGGATATGACTTCCTTCAAAGTTGCAGATATGCCCTGTTGACTGATGAGTACCAGTAAGTACAAAACCTGAATCAGTCAGGGCTTTCTTCCAATTACCTCCAAATATCTAATATCAACAATTCACAGTGCACCATGATGGTGAACCATCTAGAATGATGGCCACATTGCACCAACACACCCAGGACGAGACGTATGACGCTGGTTATTACCTAGCGTCCAATCAAATCAGAAGAAGGTTAGGTGTTAGGCAACTCCCCTTCGTAAGAAGGTAAACACCACCTCCACTGTTGAAACTTCAGAGCTTGAGGCTCTTTGCTCCATTCGGAATGCAGAGGAAGGACTTCAAAGAAAACATGGGGAACACATTCAGAGGAATAAAAATATTTTAACATTTTAGAGAATAAAATTAGGCTTATATTTTCTTTTAAAAAATGTCACCATAAATGGATCTTCAAAGACAATAGTCTACAGACGATAAAAGACAATAAAATTCTCACATTACAAAACAAAGCCAGGGAGATTTTGTTAAAAAAAAAATATTTTTCCAGATACAGTAAAAGCAAAAACAAAGAAAGCGAGCGGTAATTTTTCACTTTAATGTATGAAAAAATAAACACCGAAAATTAATGATCAAAGGAGATAAGCGACTATAGAAACTTTTTTTTTGGCTAATGAGATCAATGAACTAACTATAATCAGATTAGTTACAGGATTTCATCATGAGCTGACGACATCGGTTAGAGAACCATTGAAAAACCAGTGAAGAGTACTGAACAACTGTTTCGTCGGCCTAGTTTGGGACTCTTCAGTGGTGGCTTAATGGTTTACAAGCTTGCCTAGCAACCGGAAGATCTTGAATTTGAACCCGGTACAGCTGGCTAGTTTTCCAATGGTTCTCTCTCTAACCGATGTCGTCAGCTCATGATGAAATCCTGTAACCAATCAAATCAAATCAAATCCCTGAAAACCAATACTTGAATTGGTTGAACCATGTTATTTACTGTTTTCCAATCACCATAACCAACGTATACAGACAGTATAAGACAGCTTTTATAAGCTTCAGTCAACAGCTTTATGATGATGCCAAGCAGTTCACAACGGAAAACTCCTCAGTAAAGCCTTTGAAATGAAAACAGCAGTGCAACAAGGCTGTCTACTGTCACCCATGATGTTCCTGATTATATTGGGCGGCATCAAGTAAAATATAGTGTGTGAGAGTGACAAGACGGACATACATTGGACCAATGAGAAGACGCCGGAAGATAAGGAAGCTGTGAAAGATTTATGTCTAGTATCACACAAACTGGGACGTATGCAGGCGGAAACCAATAAGTTGTCAGAAGAGACATTGAAGACAGTAATTCAAGTGAGCATAGAGAAGATGCCTAATCCACAACAACAACAACAACAGACATCAATCACTATCAATAGAAATCAAAGGAAGTCACTTCGTTCATTTACCTGACGTAGGCATCATCATTTCAACCACTACTACTACTACTACTACTACTCGTGGCAGACAGATGAAGATGTCAAAAACAGCCAGCCAGGATCGAAAAAGCGAGAGAGACCATTGGAAATCTACTGCACTCAATATAAAAAACAAGATCCGGATTTTCAATAGTAATGTCAAGTAAGTCACTGCTTCTATATGGTTCATCAAAGATATTTCCATCAGACTGGTGACTTTTATCGACAGCTACTTTTGCTGGCTCCATACAGAAGATCAGACTGCCTCTGTCAGAAAGCATTAGTAACGAGAAACTCCGGAAACGAACAAACAAACCAAGAACTTACAGCAAAAAAAATGCTGAAGGAAATGGGGATGGATCGAACGTCATCTGAGAAGACTGTTGAATGGCATCATGCGTTAGGCCCACCCTTGACTGGAGTCCGAATGAGAAAGGATGAGGTGGATGAGAGTCAGGTAGGTGGGAATGATGTCGAGGAGGTCGAATGAGGAGCAGGATGAGGAGAAGTAAGCTTATGCTCAATCGTTGAGCCAGGTAATAGAGTCGTATGTCCAACTCGGATGCCAAGGGAATAACAATATAGTTGACTTACAAGACAATTCTTTAAATGATAAACTCAAGTGACTAATCTGCTCTTAAATTAAAATAAGAACAAAAATAGCTTCAAAAAATAGCAGTGGGGATTAATAATAAGATAAATGACTAACTAACCTGTCCACCATATCCAGAGTCAGGATCATTGGCTTTAAGAGTTAAAATCCGATAACCAATTGGAACATTTTCAAGCACAGACACAGAGTACTCCTCGGATGAAAATACTGGTGAGACGTCGTTGACATCCTGGCAAAAGGGAGAATTATTTTTTTTTAATTTCGGTTAGAAATTATTCAAAAGAGGAGAATAACTTATGGGAAGGAATAAAGTTTTCTTTTTTACGAGTTGATCACAGATTGATATCAGTTAGACAATCATTGGAAACTAGCACTGGTGTTTGGGAATCATCGGCAGTACACACCCACAGGAGGTTCGAACCCAAGACCTTCCAGTTACAAGGCAAGCTAGCTCGTATACCATTTAGCCACTGGATTCAATGGCCAGCACATGAATTCTAACTTCTACCAATTCGTGATTTCCAAACTAGGATGAAACAGCAGGTGTCCAGTAATCCACTTCTGGTTGTCAATGGTTCTCCAACTGATATCAATCCGTGATCAACTTGTAAAAACAAAACTAATCCTTACAAACCAACTATAGAGAATAAAGTTTTCCTTGGCTGGTGAGTGTTATCTAGAAGCTCTTAGTTCTGAATTCTCCACTTCATCAAATTTGAAATGTACTCAATGCATTCAGCTAGATCAGATTGGTCACAGAGGTTTTCTGTCAACCCCATTACGTATTATTTAACAAAGTGACATATTCATGTTACAAAAATCGGTCACAGTATAATGAATAATGAAATAACAAACAAAAAGAATATTCACCGTGTCAAATTCGTTTTCGTTTTGTAATGCTTAGTTAAAACTCAATCAACCGGAACTGGGTGTTTTTCATAAGCTGCCACACACATACACACACATACTATGAGCACTACTCATAGCGGCATAAAACTCTTTGAATCAGCATTTGACTTTTTGTGTTTTTCGGTTTTTTTTATAGATTACTGAAAACGAGGTTGGAATGACTGAAAATTTACCTCATATACCTTTAGGAAATATAGATAGATACACAACTGTGAACCAATCGGAAACCAGACTAGTGTAAAAAAAGCTGGATATAAGTGGAATTAAAGTTATGCTTTGATAAAAAGGATGTATTACCCAACAACTAAATAACCACATCTCTATATGCATTTAGCAATGAGTCACTCCTATTGTGTCTGCCAAAACTTCAGTAGGGGCACGCGAAGTGGAGTTCACACCCGTAACTTGATGATAGGTAGTCAACCATCTTATCCAATGAAAGTACACGGTCGAATCGAGTCAGGAAATCACTTTCGAGGAAAATGAATACTAGCAGTGGAACCCCCAGCAAAGATTGCAAGTTTCGTCCTCTCCGCGACTCGTAATTTGGATGTACCTGCATTCTTCAGTGAGTGGTGGTCTTTTCACTGGGACTCGAACCTAACACACATCATAGACCATTCGAGCCACAATAACTGTCGCTTGAGCAACCAGGTACCGGTTATTATTTGTTTATAATTCAATCATGATTTTCTCATTGATTGGTTTGACCGAAATGTTCGACATCTTTTGATATATAGGCTCCTAGTACGTCCAATCGATCAACGGGAAAATCGAAATTGAATTTTTTTAAAAACAACTGAGGTGACTATCGTGGCCCATATGGTTTAGCAGACAATACTTTGGCACTTGAAAGGATGGGCACTGGGTTGGAGTCTCAGTGGGGACACCACTGCTTAATTGGGATTCCAGGTACATCCGTCTAGCTGATGAACCCAAAATAAGGCGAAATCCTCATCTTGGATTCCGCTGCTAGTCACCATCCACTACATTTCTTCAACTTAATACTCAGACATCATCGAAGCGTCGAACATGTCAGACATCTCGGGAAAGCCGAAATCGAATTAGAATGGGTGACAGTGGATTTCGCGGCAGAGAACAAAACCACCCTATATTTAAATACATACACATTTAATCAATTAAGTGAGTAAATCCAATCAGGCATGAATTAATGCAGAATTTTCACTTACGGTTATATTAATTATTAAATTAACACGTGCTGCAAAACTCGTCTGTGTGTCAATAACCTCCAACAGAAGTAGATAATGCGATGCCATCTCATAATCTATCCGACCACTTACTCGAACAATACCTGACAAATACATAGAAGAAAAGAATGAAAATAGATATCCCCCGTTGTGAACATAAATCAAAAAAACAACAAAGCTTTAAAAAATGTTGAAGAAAAACAATTTCTACAATGAATTACAACATTCAAAGCAGATTGAAGACGCCAGCACAATGTTTTCAAAAACAAAAAGGTCACATGCAAAAGACACTCTTCTGCTACAACTGGAAGGACAATGCAAAAAGAAAAATTACTTGATATATGAATACAGTTAAATCTTAAATTTTGATTTCACTTCACTGTTTAAGTCGGAATAGAAAAGGAGCTTTCTGTGGTAAACTGAATAAGTGTTTATTAGTATTTTGATTTCTAAAGTTTTACATGTGAAGGTTGCTCACATCATAGAAACATTCTTCATTAAAAAGAAAATCATCCGAATGATAACAAGTGCAAGTGCTGGTTTGCAGGAATTTGATTGGCTTCAGGATTTCATCATGAACTGATATCGGTAAGAGGATCATTAGAAAACTAGAGGTGAGTACTAACCATCTGTTTCCTCCCGGTTTAGGACTCTTCATCGGTACGCACCCACTGAAATTCGAACTCAGAATCTTCTGCTTACAAGACGAGCTCGTTGAAGAAGTTGAGATTCATGAACCGTGGGATCAGGTCCCAGTGGCTTAATGGTCTACAAGCTCACCTTTTAACCCAGAAGGTCCTGGGTTCGAGCCTCAGTGGGTGCGCACTGATGAAGAGTTCCAAACTAGGATGAAACGGCTGTCAAATACTCCCAGATTTTCCAATAGTCCTCTAACCGATGTCAGTTCATGATGCGATCCTTCAGGTGAATGATCTATTTCAGTGTAGTTGTGTTCTCTGAACTGGATGATTTAGCTGCAAAGGTTTTATTGTCTTACTAGACAACATCTTCAGTGCATATTTCAATTCGACGTCTCCGAATTAAAGTATGAGCTCAGGAGGTTATCTGGTAAAACAACGAAATCTTCTGAACGAAACCATCCAACTTATTTCATCTCGCCATGAAATTTACTTCAAAGAGAAATAATTCACATTCAAGAGTTGGTTTGGGTGAGATTTGATTTGTTTCAAAATTTCATCACAGATTGATGTAAGTTTAAACAAAAACATTGAAAATCAACATGGAGTGAGGGGGGCAGCTGTTTTGTCCTTGTTTTAGAGCTTTCATCAATACTTACTCACGGCCATGGTTCTAACTCAGGACGATTAAAAGGTTACAAGGCGAAAGTTCGTATGCCATTAAGTCACTAGGACACTATCCAATGGCCAATCCACGAATTTCAACTCCCACTTATTCGTAATATTTAGCGCGATCATCAGTCGATATCATCGGCGTGTATTTGTCTGGAGTTCTAGTGAATAGGTCGTGATCAGTGGGACCCATCAGGTAGGCGGCATGCGAGAAAACTCGCTGATGACAGTGGATGGTGGTCACGCCAAAATCATGAATTGATAGAAGTTGGAATTCAGAAGGGCCGGCCATCGGTTCGGATCCCAGTGGTCAATGGTCTGAAATCAATCCGTAATCAAACTTGAAACAATACAGGCATTGTGAACATAAGCAGGCGAGCACAAGAAGGGTGTTTTGATGTGGTTGTGTTCTCTGAGCTAGCTAGATAGTTAATTTGCGAAGCTTTCATTGCCCACCTACTAGGCGACATCCCCACCTCAGCGCTTACTTCAATTTGTTGAAGTGAGCTTCTAGATCTCTCCACGAGTTTATTAGTCATCTCTCCTGGTGACCGACCACCTTGAAAGTGATTGGTTGTGATCATATGTGTTTTCACACCTTCTAAGCAGCTACTTACTTGTATTAGGCCTGATTTTTTCTTTGACTTGAACTTTAACCCTTTGTGTGTGTGTGTGAGAGAGAGAGAGGTTTCTCTCTTATCGGTTGATAAATTTAGTCTTTCTCGATGTGTCTCTTGATTGATGATTCAAAGGAATACCAGGCAACCTTCTAAAGATTCTCCAGTATTTTTTGTGTTTCCTCTGTCTAATATTTGAAAGTTGGTTGTCCCAGTTGAATTGGTGTCCATAGTTGTCTGTATGTAGTGATATGAGCGAGGAAGTGTATATCATGTCTTTTGACGGCTAGCTTATGTTCGTGGATACGAAGACGAAGGGGCCGTCGTCCAATTTGGCCAATGTAGTGTTTTTCGCAACCGTTGCAACTTGTTTCGTAAATATCTTAGTTAAGTAAACAACCATAGGGGAATCAGAAACTTAAGTTTATAGAAAATCAATTCACATGCACCAAATACTGAATTACAACAGCAATAATCCAATAACACACAAAGGGAATTGTATACAAACACTATTCAAGAGGGCCAGGACTCATTGCTGCACTCCCACCTTAAGGAAATTGAAGAAAGATATCTCATGGACATCTTCCAAAAGATTGGATATCCACGGAGTCCCATCAAAAGACATACACCCCCAAGCCAACCTATCAAATCAAACGCCCCCACGGAAAGCACAAAGAAAATTGCCCTACCATATATAAAGGACATATAAGAAATCACTGCAACACCCTTCAAACCTTTGGGAATTGGCGTTGCACACAAACCAACAAAATCACTTCACTCAGCTCTATGTCAACCAAAAGACTCAACAGCGAAGGAAGATCAGACCAACAGCATCTACAAAATAAATTGTAACGACTGCGAAAAACATTACATTGGCCAAATTGGACGACGGCCCCTTCGTCTTCGTATCCACGAACATAAGCTAGCCGTCAAAAGATATGATATACACTTCCTCGCTCATATCACTACATACAGACAACTATGGACACCAATTCAACTGGGACAACCAACTTTCAAATATTAGACAGAGGAAACACAAAAAATACTGGAGAATCTTTAGAAGGTTGCCTGGTATTCCTTTGAATCATCAATCAAGAGACATATCGAGAAAGACTAAATTTATCAACCGATAAGAGAGAAACCTCTCTCTCTCTCACACACACACACAAAGGGTTAAAGTTCAAGTCAAAGAAAAAATCAGGCCCAATACAAGTAAGTAGCTGCTTAGAAGGTGTGAAAACACATATGATCACAACCAATCACTTTCAAGGTGGTCGGTCATCAGGAGAGATGAAACCTTCGCAAATTAACTATCCAGTTAGCTCAGAGAACACAACCACATCAAAATCATCCCAACTGAGCTACAAATCTTCTCTATCATATCTATAAGAAGGATATCCAATCCATTGTTGTTTATTGTTGCTGACTATTGTTTTATTTTTCAATAAGGAGGAGAAATTCAAACAAAAAAACCTACTTGACCCATAAAATTATATAGACATAAACAAATTATACACATAGTATTATCTAAATAACAGACAAAAGACAAAAGATGATATATGCATGACCTAGACAGAGGAGTCATCATCAACATTATATATATATATCCATATATCCTGAAGATCATACACACTCATCATGAGAACAGATCGACCACATTTACTTGATAAACAACTATCGTTCACCATTTATAGTACGCATACATCATCACCCTCCTCATCATCTCCACCACATCATAGGAGGACGACGACATTACAAGGGTAAATTAATTTAAGCCATTTTAAGTAAGATTAGGTGGGAAGATAAAGATAGAAAAGCAATTACTACCATAGAAGATACTATAGAAGAGGAGGTACACAACATAATAAAAGCACATAATAAATAATGACTCTGAAATGGACTTAAAACAAAAATAAATAATCCCTAAAGACAACAACAACAACAGCTGAAAACACAACACATTATTCTTTCATTCTCTGGACAACAAAGGGGAAAAGAGGCCAGGTGGCTCCTCCTCTCCAATATATACATATATATATATATATATGCATACTGTGGTAACCACAAATCAACTACGTACAAACACAATAAATCCATTAGCATTATATATTATAACTGTCCTTTGGCCAGTGACAACAACTAGCTACCTACCTAGCTAGCTAGCTATGAAGCAGAAAGCAGTAGTATAGTAGAGAGTAACGAAGGAGAGGGGGACAACACAGAAAGGGAATATCATGAAGGTAAACGAAACTGTTTACTTACTGATGAAAAACTGTCTAGAGATGAACACTATTTACTTTATGATGTGATATGAGAAAGAATGAAACTGGGGGGGGGGGAGAGGCGATATACAACAGAAGGAATACACATAAAGTAAGTGACTACTACTCACTTAAACGACAAAAAATGTAAAAACAAGTTAGGGGGGGCGAAGTTCTTTAAAAGCGAAAAAATGCAAACGATAGTTTACACACACACACATAGTGACAACAATAACAAATACAACATTGACAAACAAACGCGGTATATATAAAGGCGTAACACTAACTGACAGTGGGAAAGTGTTTTGCGTTTCGCCACTTTAAAACACTTTCTACAGTTTTTATTCCCCACTTACATGTACCATTATTGTTATGATAAACTAATATTGTTTTTTGAAAAAGAAAAGTAGAATGGTGGATTGTGAATAACAACAAAAAGAAGTTTGTAAGGATAGCTGACAAGCAATAAATTAACTAATACATTGTCAAATATGGCGGGGAAAAGAACTGACTGTAAGAACTGTTTTTTTTTCGATTGGAATAATTTAAACAAGTAAACGAACTGATTTGATACAACTATACTCCTGATAAGAGATTAAATGTGAGGTGAAATTAGACTTAGTCTTTTCAAATTGTTTTACATCTATCATTGGATGATAATGAAATTTCAGTAGAGGCGGTGATTTTGTCTTTTTAAGCAGCGAGGTTGCTAGCTATACACTCAACCTTGCCCCCCCCACTCTTTATCGGGATTACCTACCTCTCTAGAGTGAGTGGGGTTCAGGAGTGCGTCAGCTGGGAGTCGGACCCCAAATTACGTGAGGTGTGGTTGGAGAGCATTCTTCTACCATGTAACCACCACCAACGCATACAGATATTGGTACAGTCTCTCAAAAAAATTCAGTGTTTAGTGTAT